GTCTAAGCAGGGTACTCTAACTATGTACTATGTACTGTAACTGGATGAGCATTTCACAGATTGATGGATGGATTTTTAATGCATAAAACTGAAACATGGAAGAATAACAAGATCAAGAGCAATGTTAGCAGCTCTACATAAGCTTTCAGAGCCTTGGAACAAATCAGCACTACCATTAGTGCTGATTTAAGAAAAAAAAATCTGCTTTTCTTTTAGTCACATTAAAAAAAACTTGAGCAAATATGACAGCAACTTCAAAGCTTTTTAAAGTGTCACATCCAACCTCAGCAGATTTGTAGCATCATTTGGAAAAAGTGAAACTCAAAAAAGTTAAAGCTATCCAACTAAAACCTGTTTGCACCAGCTTTCACACCTCCACCATGTTCATAATGCAGACTGATGTGCAGTAGGTGTGTATAACCTTATTCTCGCCCTTTTCTGATCCCAGTAACTCAATAAAGTGTGCTTATATAACTCAGATTTGTTCTAATCTTACAAACATGGTGAAGCTAAAGCAAACTGCTAATGTTCAACCTCATGTTTTATGTTGTAGTGTCACATGCTGTCTGTCCTTACATCACAACTCAGTTAAAACCAAAAATATGTCAACATGTTCCAGGTGGGCAACGTGTTCCAGTTGTGGGTAAGTGTATATCAACGTTTCTGAAAGGTGCTCATTATTTCAGGGCATCAACAAAAGCAGGCCTCAGACTGAAAGCATAGGCGCTCCGCTGTGAATGCTGACAGGTAGTTGGTGACACACATGCCTGTGAAGACAGAAGACTTCAATATTGGTTGAGGATTGTGCAAAGTTGAAGGAATAAATCAAGTGCAGTAAATCTCAGGGCGGGAGATGTGCTTATAACTGTCAGCTGATGAATTCTTTAACCTACTGCACCAACTGCTGCTTTCACAGTGTTTTATTTATAAATCGAGGCTTTATCTGGGTTCATCTCCTCTCTGCTTCTCCTCTCTGCTCTCAGTGCTGCAGATTGCTTCAGCGATGTGATTGCAAAAATAGTTGTTGCTGCAATCTGTTGCACATGAATGAAAGGTTTAATTTTCTGAATGTACATATAGTATGTTTAAATAGCAAAAGAATTGTTAACAGGAAAGTCTTTACTGTCTTTTTATTGTTTCTTTGAGTGTCTTCTTTACTTCTATACTTGATGTTTTGCTTCCTATGTTAATTCACCCACTGTGTATCTGCCGCTTGCTTATCTGTCAAAGCACTCTGCTAACTGTCTGTGAAGGTTCTCAGTCATCCAGGTCATCGTAGTCTAGGGAGCTTGGAAAGCAAAGAAAATGGGTGTGGGTCACAATCAGCCAAGGTTTCAGGTGAACCCACAGTGAAACCTAGCCCCACCCTATGATGTGATTTATTGAGGTCAAATGGCCCAGGATGTGAGTGGACGTTAAGGCGTCTGGAAAGGGATCTCAAAACTGGATTATAGATGGCAGACAGTTGGCGTTGTAAGCTAACGCCTCTACCTTAGAGACAGGGTGAGAAGTTCAGCCATCCAGGAGGGGCTCAGAGTAGAGCCGCTGCTCCTCCACATTGAAAGGAGCCAGTTGAGGTGGTTCAGGCATCTGACAACGATGCTCCTTGGCCGCCTCCTGGGTGAGGTGTTCTGGGCATGTCCCACGGGGAGGAGGCTCCAGGGCAGACCCAGGACACACTGGAGAGATTATATCTCTCGGCTGGCCTGGAAACGCCTTGGTGTTCCCCCAGAGAAGCTGGAGGAGGTGGCTGGGAAGAGGGAGGTCTGGGCTTCTCTGCTTAGGTTGCTGCCCCCGACACCCAGCCTCAGATAAGTGGAAGAAGATGGATGGATGGATGTCATTATTGGTCATTATTGAACACCTTTACAAAGTTTTTCTGCAACCTTTTAAGTGCCCAGGCCCACTATTTGGTCTCTGGGTTCCACCAACTGAAAAGCAAAACATAAGTCAAACTCTTCTTGTTTTATTACAAAATTCCTTTTGATGATGGCTAGCCAAGCATCCTTTTGCTTTCAAGAGGTTCCCTTAAAAAGGTTTACATCTTTAAACTTTCATACACTATTGTTTCCTTCTTTCATTAAAGACAAAGTTCCTTGTGCACTCTGCGGCCTCTCCAACTACTTTAAGTCTTCATGGCATGGACTCACCAAGGTGTTGGGAACATTCCAGAGGTTTTTGTCCCCACTGACATGATAGCGTCACACAGCTGCTGCAGATTTGTTAGCTGCACATCCGTGATGGGAATCTCTTCTTCCACCACATCCCAAAGGTGCTCTATTGGATTCAGATCTTTGTGGAAGCCATTTGAGTTCAGTTTTGATCATGTCTACATGTCTAAATGTTCTGGGTTGCTGCCATGATTACCATGACAAATACTTTGCAGCTCAAAGTGCACAACAAAAGGGTTTACTTGGATTATTTTGTCAGTCTGAGCATTAGGCCAGAATCGTGTAGACATTAAGTGCCAAATGTGTAGGTCAGTATTAAAGGTCATGTTGTAATATCCAGCTGAGTCAGGGGCAGCTGTAGGGAGACACAGCTGAGAGACACGCAGCTCACTGAGCAGAACACACACACAGAAACAGTCACTGTAACAACAACATGAAACACACATTCGGGCATGCATGCACAGCCCTATAGCTTACAATGAAAAACAAACTCAGGCTTATGGAGCTAACGCACACACACACATGCAAACACACACTGGGAGACAAAACTAAACAGACAGTGAGAACATGTAGCCCTGGGCTGTTTATGAGTACAAGACAGCACAGGGGTCAGAGGTCAGGGGCACCAGCCACATGTGATAAAAAATGATCATACAACTGGACACAGCTGGATGTGAAAGAAACCATATTATATGACTGCATATAGTGACAGGAAAACAGCTCTACCACCAAACACCAAATGTATTATAACTGTGAAAGTGTTGCAACAGCACCATATAGTGGATGCTTTAATACCACAGAGTAGTGTGCTTGGATATATATGCATAAACTGCAAGTGCCCATAACAATCGATTCAAAGTTAGAGAATGTGAATTTAAGTGCTTCCTGCAAACAAAAACATGCTTTTGTGTTACTGTTAAATCATTTAAATTGTATTTAGTTAGAGTAGAAGCAAATCGCAGTGAGGATACTAAGAATCGACATCAGTTAATACTGCACCTGACACTTTAAATGGGCAATGGGGTGATCCAAATTAAATTTTCATTAGGTCAGAATGGTCAAAAGTTAGTGTGTGATACAGCAACATAATATACAAAGTTTTATTTGGATTTTCCAAAGGCTGCACTCACACTTTGACCAGTTGTATATGCTTTACTTTTAACAGCCTCTGCTAATTGCTGGTATGAAATGTTTTGATGGGATCTACAAAACTTCTGGCAGGATTAGCTTATTTAATAAACACCATTAAGCACCAAAGATGGCCGATAAGTCCAAGCTGCAAAACAGCTCGGCTTAAGAGGCACTTGAAAAGAAGACCTTAGTATATTTTTGAAGAAGAACAAGAAGAATGTGTGAAGCTAAGATAGCTTTAATGCACACATAAGAGGGTGTGCATTATTATGACTCTCTCTGGCAAGATAGGAAGCGAAAAGCAGCACTATTTATGAATGTTAAGTGTCATTCACTGACTAATATCAGTATTTGCCCAATGTGACAACTGCTCTTAAAGATGTTATTGTAAATATTGTATAGGTAAAGTCCAGGTCACACAGTGTTATGTATGAAATTTTCAACAGGAAAGGCTGGAAAAACTCTGAAATTGTCACTATTTTATTACTTTTATTACAATTTTCCATGTCTAATTACTACATTGTAATATTTTCCATTGTAATATTTTCCATTGTAATATTTTTTTCTGGCAAATACTTTTTGCCAGAAAAACCCAAATACTTCATAAGACTGATCTGCATGCAATGGTGTCTCCAGAATTTTTTCATAGGGGTGGGCATATGGGGCGGATGAACACCAGGTACCTTTCAGAGACAGGTCGCCTCGCCTCTGTCAGTGCGCCCCAGGGCAGCTGTGGCTACAACGTAGCTTGTCATCACCAGTGTGTGAATGTGTGTCCAAATGGGTGAATGACTGAATGTAGTGTAAAGCGCTTTGGGGTCCATAGGGACTACGTAAAGCGCTATACAAATACAGGCCATTTACCATACATCGCTTCTAAACCAGCCAAGTAGAGCTTACAGAGCTCATGGAAGGAACTCTGAAAATAGCTCTGGTTGCCTGAGGTTTATATTAAAGGAGTTTAATGCTGTTATGCTACATGCAAACCTTTTTCTAGCAGGACTACAATTTATTAAAATACAAATTTTATTTATGTTTTCATATGAGGCCGAATATCTTTTGTAATCGGCTGTTATTTCTTTTTGTTGACCAAATTATTTTTGAATAGAAGAAAGAATAGAAGAGGTGGAGCAGCGCCCTCTAGTGGATTATTTCTCCTTCAGTGGATAATTTTTAGCAAGCAGTCACTAACGCCAAGCTCAAATTTGCCAACGGTAAGTGAAATTAAATAAGACTATAGTCAAGCCAAAAGCCTTAGATTCTTATTTAAGGAAAGGAAAATGTGTTGAACTGGGTTTTTAAAAAAATTAATTTAAATATTTGCATGGGACGCAACCCTCGAACTGGAACCTAATGCACCACTTAAGTCTGGCCACAAGATGGTGGCAGCTCCACGACCTTATAATGGATTTTCATAGAAAGTCCGTAATTACTGTATCTGTGTTTGCTTTTTATTTCGAGTCAATGTCCTAAATCAAAGAAATTAGACGTGATAATACGTCTGAGGCATGCGTATTCTGAATGTGTCTGGGTTTTATTTTCTTTTAAAGTGACTCTGATTGGCTTTAAAGTGGGTAAAGTACTATTTCATCGCCACATTAGAGGAAAATAAGTCAGAATAAGGGGGAGTTTCTGCTTTCTGCTCTGCTTTTATTAGTCTTGGATCCTCCTCCTCCCTTAGATCTAACACATGTAGCCACTTTGCAAAAACTTGAAGACGTCAGAAAGGCGGGCATTTCCCCTCTATATATTCCTCAGAGCTGCATCCCATCCTGCTACTCAGTTCAACCTGGAAAGCACTGGCAGGCGTCCTTTTTTTGTTTTTGTTTTTTTGCGCTTAGCAGCATGGAAGTGACCAAAGGAGAGGACGGGTCGGCGGAACAGGCAGCGTCTTTATTTGGGACACGAGAGGTGGAGAGTCAGAGGAGCATGAATGAGAATAAAAGGAGTACCCGCCGTAAAATCATTATTGGGGTATGTTCAGTTGCACTTTGGCAGCATGGAGGGCAACTTTGAGCGATTGACTTCGCTGTGTGAAAGTCACACATTATAGTTAATGTATTTGTCTGAGCTCCTGCCACTCATATTACTGCATGGTCTTAAATGTGACTTTTAAATTGGGAAGCCCTTAAAGTGTCAGGGACACTATTATTATAGATGATATTATTGATTAATAAGTAGCTGCTGTCTTTTGTCCTCTAGAAGAAATACTGGGGGGAAAAAATCATCTGTCCCTGTTTGAAATGAAGAGATGTCCATCTTTTTTCTTTTGTCTCATAATTGCAAACTGGATTCTGGGGTTTAAAAAACATTTGAAGGCGTCATTTTGGGCCCTGTTGAGTAGTCCTTTTTTTTTTTTTTATGTATAATTTTTGTCAAACATTAGACAGTTAACCCAACTGGCACTGTGTGATGTTTAACTAGGGGAAGAGAACCATCGTCAGGGATCAAAAACCACATCCTCGGGTCAGCATTTCTGCACTGTTTACTCACACTGTCATTAATTCACAGCTGCCACACAGACGAGACTGTCAGTGTTGCCAGCGTGAACGTGGAAACTAAATGTTTTCACTCCACTGCAAACAGACACGGGCCAGCAGGCTCTCTGCAGGTGGACAAGACCTGCAGTTGTTAGTGTGAAGCAGGGCTGGGTGGAGCTCTGACCCCACAACGTTGACTCTGATCCAAAGTGTCGTTTCAGCAAAATACTGGGTGTATTCAGGCAGCTGGAAAATGAGTCGTCCTGCCAGCGCTTTGTTTTGATGTAGTTTTAGTGGTTCTAGATGTTACCGTGCAGAGGCACAGGTAGTAGCTGAAGTTGTTTATAACTATAATTATTTATAACGTTGACTAATTGGGCAATTAGTTTCTCACATAATTGAGCAATATTTGTTTTACTCTAATGCAAGACTGTTCAACAAACAGACAGGCACAGTGCTGTGATAGTCAGCACTGATGAAGATGTGTGTTGGGTTGATTGGCAGTTCCTGAGATAAACTAGCTATCTGTGCAAAGTGTAACATACCTCTAACTTTTATGAAATGTGTGGTAGGCTCCAGCACCCCGCCCAAGAACCTGAATTAAACAGTGAAAGAAGGTGGATGTGGACGTTTGTCACGGCTTGGCCTGTTCTTCTTGTGCTACCATCAAGAACAGACTCATTTAAACCGGCCCATCTTGACCCTGGACTCTCTTACAAAACACATTGTTAATTTTAAGATTCTGACTTGATCAATAATCTTCAGTGTCCAGTAACATCCCCACATCTGGGCCAGTAGATCAAAACTTTGGTAGCGCTTTAAGGTGTAATCTGTAATAATGTAGCATTGGTAAATATGTATATTGAATTATTAGTCTAAATCTGAAAAATAATAACTTAAAGGTTTAAAAATATGTCGACCAAAAGACAGGCTGTGCGAACTTTGACGCAATACTTGGCTATCTCCATCACTGGCAGGAATGGACATTTTAATCTGCTGGGTCTGTTCTTTGTTTTCCCCAGAACAGTATTTTTATCACAGAAGGAACGTCTCAGAAAACAACAGCAGCTTTTATTGTTCACAGCTCCTCGGGGCATTGAAACTAACCACACTTAGTCTTTGTGGAGGCTAAATCTGGAGTGTGTTTCAGTCTTTACAGAAAAAAATATAATTGAAGCAATTGTAAAGAAAAATACCGTTATGTTTTATGGACTTGTTTTATATTGCTGCGGTCATAGTCATATCAGAAAAACATGTTTCTTGCTGTAATATAGTGAAATAAATTGTGATTTTTTTTAAGTTGGAAGTGGAAAGTTAAACATGTCTGGAATGTTCGTGATCTCCTTCATCACTGAGGCATAAACTGCATGTCAAAGAAGTCATTTGAGAATGTGCGCATCCTTTCAGCTATTCACTTGCGACCTTCAGCTCGACACCACAATAACCAGATGCTGTCTGCTTTGTACCAATTAGACACACACAAGGTCTCATTTTTAAGGTCCACGACAATTCGGACAATAGCATGACTTTGTAGTTTCGCCTCTGTACACTACCACAGTGGATTTTAAATTAAACCAATCAAGATGTGTTTTAAGTGCAGATTGTAAGCTTTAGTTCAATGGGTTTACCAGAAAATGGTGCAGTAACTACTTTGCAATACATCCCTAATGTCTTAAAACCCCAAAATAACTCAAAAATAAGTAAAAGCTCAATCTTGAGTACCCACTAACACTTTATGACAATGAATAATAAAGTGAATGTCTACCACTCCTTCACCAGATAGATCTGTTCAAACTCCACCCACCTTAAACTGTTTTTTCTATGGTAGTTCCTCTTTTGCCCTGCTGCCTGAGAAGCTAGATTGCTTCAGTTGTGCAGTTGTGCACCTGATTAACACAGAAAAGTAGCAGAGTTGTTGTTTTTTTTTTTTGGATCAAGGATCCAGGCTTATGCGAGAGCAGCTTGTCATATCTACCATATCTTTCAGCTTTGTGCATGTCATAAGGCCACACATGATGGCAGTTTGATGTGTAGCCCTTAGCTTTTGTGTCTAAGTCCACCCCTGAACTAGAATGACACTTCCCTAGAAAGAGTTTTTGTGTCTTTGGATAGCCTTTTTTTGATGTCCACTTCGAAGATGACTTTCATCTGTAGTTTAATTTCAGAACCTTTACATCATTCTCTTGTAGACAATGGAAAATGAGTGGTGGTCATGGTGGGGGGTCTGAATAAATATTAAAGCGTGTTTCAGGCAGCCCAGTAGGTTTCCACCAGACAGTCTGTTTACTTTCACAACCCACAGAGACCCCGTCTTTAAGCATTTCTGTGAAGCCCATCCAAGTTTACAGTTTTTTTCACCTATAGCTGGGGAAAATAAGTGCACGTACCCAGACACCAAATACAGCAGTGCGTTTTCATACCTGTATAGGAATTCCAGCTCTTGTGAATCACACTAAGTAGATTACTCCTGCTGTACTGCTGTAGCTTTCTAGCTTGGGAGGATCGGACTAGTTTTGGCTTGAGGATTTGTTTGTTTAAACTGTAAATCCTCTGTAAAATCTTTCCTCCAGGAAGAATTTATGTTTTTCCACTTTAAGCCTGTTTTTTTGAACTTTTTAGTTTAGCTTTTTCCCCCTTTCAGTTAAAAGTAATAGACTACAGAAACAGTGTGAAAAGATTAAAAACGTATCAGTTCTGAGAGGAAATTAGACTCTTTGTGCCAGCAAAAAGTGACACCAGAGAACAAGAGACTTGCTTTAAACTATGACTTGTGTTGTGCTAAGGAAATATTTGCAGCTGCGTTCCCAGCAGAGAGGTGATAAGATGGTCATAGGAATAAAAGGAGATGAGCCATAACGCACTTACATATTATACTCTTTAAAAACTGTGATTGCAAGGCACAATTTTACCAGAATAATAAATATTAAAATCTGGCGACACATTTAAAATGAAGATTTGTAATGCCATAATGAGTAACTGGCCTGGTTTGGGGCATTGCAGACGGTTCAAAAATCAGCATCCGTGATAACCCTGGTAAACACTGTCATTTCTAAGTAAAGTAATCTTTGAAACACCCATCTAATTACAAACCACTCGCCCCCAGGGAGCTGCTGTCCTGGGGCAGAAAGGTTGTGATTTTTAAAAAAACAAACAAAAACAATTCTGGATCACTACTTCCAACTGCAGAGAGCTGAGACTAATATATAGACAGATGGAGATGGTGTGGAAATTGTTAAAATCAACAGTTGAGCCTGTGAGGATACAGATGGAAGTCTCGGTGGACGGTAGAAGGATAACTGAATAAAGCAACGTATCTAAACCTCTTCAGCTGCAGTAATGGAGTAGGGCTTTGAGCTAAAAGCTAATGTAAGCATAATTAGAAGTATACAGAAAACAATAGCATGGTGATCGAGTAGTGTTTGCCACCCTAGTGTAATTCAACAGGTCCCAAATGCCAATTCTTAACAGTAAAAAAGTAACAAAGTTGCATAAGACATGTACATTTTTATTTTAACTTGGAGACGTCAAACTCTATATGTTTTTTCTTTTTTTCTTTTCTTTTTTTTACATGATTATAGTTTAGTAACAATGCACACAGAGTTGTAATCCGATCAGGGGTTTTCCCCCTGTTGGACGAGGATCTGGGGAAAAATAGCATGCTGTCTCTGGTGCGTAAAGTGTAAATAAACGATTCAATAAAATAATTTTTTCCAGACACAGTTTTTAAACGGAATTGAAGACAGTGAAGTACAGAGAAACACTGAGCCCGTTTGTTCTTGACCGTCTCGTAGCTTGGCTGTTTTTGTGATTCTCAGTCTGCATCTGCAGCTGCATCACATTTTTTGAAAAGAAAACTTGGAAATTTAAGAGGATCATGCGAGTCAGCTGGGTTCCTCTGCGAACTGTGGATACAACAAATTTATTCATGATCGGTCCATTAATATTATTTTAAGAGCCTGTAATGTCAGCCTCGTGTTAGTGATGCTAAGAGGCAAAATAACAGCATGATTTAGTCATTAGGTGAAGAGGATCCCATCTAATACTTGCTGTACAACAGCCAACACTGCTCTCTCTAGAGCTGAAGCTTTGAGTGTGGACGTGATTTAGTTTTGTTAATTTGTGTCTTCTCTTGAGAGAGACGAGATTTTGTAGTGCTTGAACCTTTTTCTTTTCTCAAAGTTCAAATAGTTCAAAATAAACAATGTGAAATTAGTGGCTGCTATCTCTAACAGCTTTAACAAACATCTTGCCATTTTATCTTCTGGGTTATAGGTTCTGCTGCTGTGTTTACTGGTGGTTATCCTGGCTGTGGTGATTTTTCTGAGAAAGGAGAAAGGATCAGGTAAGATTGACTGTTTTAATTAACCAGCATTAAATTAATGTACATTTCACCTCCTCATTTTCATAATTCTTGCCCAATGGCTGTTGGAAAAGTCCCCAATCCCCCTCCCCCATCCCTCTTCCCCCTTCATGATTTGTGCTTCATTTATAGCATATTTTTCATTCAGCTTGGATTACATTTAAATTTTAAAGAAACTGTTTTGCCTCTGGTATAATGTTGGCCTGGTCACCTTGGATTGCGCCAAGTGAGCCTGGGACTGGCTATATTCCATAGTACTAATAGAATTTATTTATTTAACACCCCTGTTTCTCATCAAACAGCTTTATGCATGTTCTTGTGGTTTAATAAACAAGTTAAGTGTATCTTCTTCCTCAAAACAGCAAAAACAGTTTTAAGAAAAGCTACATTTCTTCACTGCCACGTTTGATTGCTTGCAGTCCCTCTTCCTTTGGTTGGTGCATATCCAGACATATTGCTGCTGCAGCTGTCAATAAGTGGTACAAGATGAAAATATTAGCGGGACTTCGTGTCACTGCAACACACATGTGCATCCTTCTGCGCAGGAAACAAAACAACAATCCGCATAAGTCTGTTACTGCAGGATATCTTTGAATTTTACTTTAGTAGATATATAGTCTGTGAAGTGCTGGTGTTGGAAATGTGAAGAATGTCAATACAGACCTCAGCGCCCTGTATTCACGAGGATTTCAATTGCTTTTCCTAATGAATTCTCAGAGTTGACCTTCGAAATGCAGCTGTCAAAGTGCTGACCTGCTTTTTCTTTCACTCACATGTAAATCTGTGTAGTACCACATTAATACATTTTCTGTCTGAGCTTTGTCTAAGTCATGGTTTTCACTCCTCATGGACAGTGAATAGAGTGCTTTGGCTACAAGAGCGTGAGACAGATTATCTCAGGTTACATTTCTGGCATTTATTCAGCGAGAACTCATTTGGTGCGGTTGTCACTTGGTAAAATAACAATCAAGGCTCCACACTCTTGTGTATAGCACCTAACATCCCGCTGCAGATCCTCCAGAAACTTGAGACTTGAAGTATTTAGAGGAGCAGTAGAGAAGGATAAAGTTACCAACCAGGCAGCAAAAGAGAGACAGAGAGGTGAAAGTTAACCCCCAAGACGCCGCATAGGTTGAGCGTATGTTTTTGTCAGGGTGGTGCAGGCTAGTTTTTTCTGTCCATGGTTGCAAAACAAGTCGTAAATACCCTCTTAAGTGACAGAGGAATGTTTTCTGCAGCTATAGATTCGCCCCAGTTAGACGTGGGCAGCAGTGTCAGTACGCTCTTTGTTGAAAACCACCATGCCAAAACGCTCCTCCAATTTAGGGGGCAGCGGCGATGACTGTGGGCAGCAGTCCCCAGCCTGGGTGGGGTCCTCTCTCTCCTGTGGCATTTCCCTTTAACTTGCACTCTATTTTCTCCTCAGTTAACATAAAACCTTTCGATTACTTGTCGATTACTCACCATAGAAAGCCGTCTCCTGAGACAGAGCATCCCCGTGTTAAGTCCAAACCACATAGCTGGCCCCGACGCAGCGAGGAGAGGATTTTTCACCCATGCGCTAAGGCTCCCTCTGTCATATGCCCTGTCAGTACAGCAGGAAACTTGATGGATGCATAAGGAAGGCAGATGTTTAAAAGGTTAAAGAGGTGACCCAAAATATCCTGCTTGGTGATGCCTTGCCTGTGGGAAAGTCCTTGAGTAAGGAAGGTTTCTTATCAACCTGTGCAGACCGTTACAACATTTGAGGGCGTATTCTCAGTTCGCATTTGATTACAACAACTAGAATAAATGTTATGATTGTTTTACTGTCTATTGTCTTTCCCAAACTAAGTGCTGCTTTTGTTTTCTAACAGCTCCAGGAAGCAGCACTTATATTTGGTTTTTTCTGTTATACATGTCTCTACATAACACAGGAAGGAAGTGCTGTTCTTGCAGCTCTCTCTTAGATAATCATATATTACTGATGCATAAACAACAGTATTGTATTAGCCTCTCTCACAGCAGAAAGAGCAAGTGACGGCTTTTTTCCTTTGTGTTTTTTGTTGTTTTGGGAGGACCAACCTTCCTCTTCACGGAGCTGCTAAGACACCGTGCCTGGGATTACCGTAATAACCCTAATATCACTGAAAAGCGCAGAGTCGCTGTTTTCAGGAACCGTTGCAATTATTTCAATCAAGCAAATGGTTCAGGAGTTACGGGAGTTGCAGATATTGAAAAGAGGGTTACAAAACACCTGTCTGATGCCAGCGACAGGTTAGGCTTGAGAGAGTTAAAAGAACAGCAACAAATGGAACATGTAAAAATATGTAAAACCCAAATCCACCCATCAAAAGAATAACCTAATAGTTGTGTGTCTTTGATACAGACCCTCTCATTAGTAAATGCATCAAGTAGGCACAATAAGAGCTCTAATGAAAATGAGGCTCATTTCTTCTGGGGTGTCATAATAACCATGAATTGAGGATAACGAGACGGGATAAACGCCGTCACCAGTCTGTCACAAGGCTAACACAGAGAGGAAAACAGTCTTACATTCCCATCCTACAGCCCATTTAAAATCAAATTAACATGCATGACTTCGATCAGTTGGTGGAAACCCATGCAGGCTCCTGCAGAACACTTAAACAGCCAACAGCAAGATTCAAACCTGGAGTCTTTTTCCTGACTGGTGTCATTATCCAACACGACAGACATGAAGTGAAACTGTGATATCATGAAAGCCCTGTTATGTAAGGAAACAGCTGAGGGCTAAAAAGGTTGCACTGAATGCAGTCTGTACTGTTGTGTTCACAGGTTATGTAGTTCCCCAGGTTACAATGTGTTATGTTTCACTTCTTTGTTTCCAAGATTGTTTCTATGGTGATCTCATCTTCTCCGAGGCAAAATGAAAGCGTAGCATGTGTTCTGTCTCGAAATGCTTCCGGTCTTCTTGTAAATGTGGATGAAAAAGTAATGTCACTTTGCACTTACACATCCTCTTCACTGGTAGTCAAATTATTCAACAGTGCCATTTAAAGGGTGAACTTGACAGATTGCTTTAGTTGCTGTCCACCAAATGGGATCATATTATATCCTCAAAGCTTGTCAGGTGATGTCCTTTTGTGGTTTAACATAGATTCCGTTATTTATATGAAAGGTTTTAAAATCTGTAAGAGTTTAAACTGAGGATCTAAGTGGTTGTCAAAACAGTTCTAGTAACTTACCTTCCAAGGTCACTGTGTCATGTTAATATATATTATTTATTGACATTTGCTTTAACCCAAAAAGTGTGCTGAAATTAAATAGAAAACCTCAATTTTCCTTAGTAACACAGTTCTTTTCTCACAGGAGGGGAAGTCTGGATGAAAGGGCCCTTTCAGGAAGTCAGTCAGCCACAGTGTCCTTCTGGGTAATATAATACTTTTGTTTGGCTTCAGCAATGTGAAAACAGATTTACTTTTCATAAAATTGAATGCACAAATTCCACCTGGACTCCTTTGGATTACATCAGCTCTGGTCCTCCTCTGTCTGAATCCTAAGTTGTAACATATCACAGATCTGAAAGTGGAACTATTTAATCATATCACCCACATTTTCCCTGAGAAGAAACCATTGTTCACTGTTAGCAAACATTATCAACATACAAAGCAGGCTAGAGTTTCCTTTCTGTCACCCTCTGGTTGCTTACCCAGCTAACGTCCATATTTTTTATCTTGTAAATAGCTGAATCACGGCTTGTTTTCTCCTAGTGGTGTTGCTTTATTGGGGAAAAAGTAACTGTCTCTATGGAAACTGGGGTAATGGCCGAGTAATCAGGCATGTGTTGATGAGTTGTGTCTGTGTGTTTGCACGAGAGCGTGGTCACATGTTTGTGTTTCTGTCTTGGCGAGGGAGTAACCTCAGACAGACGCGTCAGACTGTGGAAAAATGGTCCTGCGGCTCCAGATGAAGCTATTTTAGTTTGAAAAATACAATAAGACACACAAATGTCTATTTATATGAGTGTTGTTTTTTATTGTTTCTATGGATACACCACACTTTTACTTTCCTGACAGGTTGGCAAAATCTTTCTTATGATTATTTTGGTTACTAGCATATTGCTGCTAGTTTGAATGGGTGTGATGGGCTTGCTCTCGGAGCTATTGTAAAACTTTTAAAAGTGACATGCAAACCGGAAATGGAGAAAGTTTGCCTTCAGCATAAAAGTTCTACCATAGTGCTGCAGTTTCAAAAAGCACATATTTTACTTTGAAGTTGAACCTTCCCTATTTCCACTTAGCGTCACTTTTACACATTTTACAACTACACAGCTAATACCAGTAATAGACGACCAGTACACAAACTGGCCAGTGTTATGTTTTTCAGGGGAGTTTTCTGGCTTTATTGTGAAGCACTCTGTGATTTTTATCTGTGAAACATGCTTTATAAATCAGAGGCAGACAAATTTTAAACTATGTCCGCATGATGTCACATGAAAACCCTCAATAAACTGCTTTAATTGTATCTATTTTTATATGATTTTCTGAATTCTATTGATGATTTTATTCTACATTTACAATAAAAAATGAAAGACATTTTCATATTTGCAACTCTACAGAAAATCATAACCAACTCTTCCTTCTCCAGGTCTGTTTCACAACTTTTAGCTTGTTTTGGTTTAATGCCAGCGCTGCTACATAGTACAGCGCATTCAGCCACAGGTCTAATTCTTGCTCTCAGTGGCTTGACACCAAAGCAATGTTAAAGGGCAGACATTCTAAGAAAGGGACATGATGTTGAAAGACTTCTGAACTGAAAGGAAACCGATAGGAGGACAGAAGATGATTGAAATGTCACAGATGGAAAAGTAAAGTCAGTTAAATTTTCATTTGTCTTAAATTTGGTTCAGTTTTTATGTTTCAGTGAGCTATGATATGAAAGTTGATTTAAAAAATGCTTCGAAATGACTGACTGTAGCCATTTCAAGATGCTGTTGTGTGATTAGACTTGCTTATAGAAAAACTTGGCACTAGAAGGAGCGGAAAGATGACTCCAGATTATTAATGATAAACACAGGTCAGCGTCCCCTTAGAGAATGTATTTATCAGATGTTTTTCCTGTCCAGATTTTCAAAGCCTCCTCTCATCCTGGTGTCTTTGGACGGTTTCCGGGCAGCGTATCTGAAAGAACATGCGAGTCACATGCCTGTTATCAGCAAGTTACGTAAGTCAAAAACATCGCCTGTCTCACAGTTCTTTACGATTTACAGCTCAAGGTAACAATGTGACTTTGTTACATTGCAGGAAATAATGGAACTACAACACCATACCTGAGGCCTGTTTATCCCACAAAGACCTTTCCCAACCACTACACCATTGTGACTGTGAGTGTTTTTTGTTCATTGAGAAATACAAACAGGTTTGCTGGGCAACAGTGTTTGGTCAGTGATGATGAATAACTCATGTTGTGTAAGGATGTATTTGTAATTTGTAACTGTTCCAATGAACTTTAGAGCAGTTTTGTGTGCAGTTTGAATGTGATCTGACCAACCCAATTACCTGGGGCACTTACTACAAAGCACGTTCAACATACCCACATGACATTACTGGTTATTCATTTCCCAGGATTTCTTAATCTGCCAATAATCTAGCAGTGATTAAGAAACCCAGTATATGGTCATATAAGACATGGTTTTTGTAGCATATGACAAGTCTACTGGGAGCAGATGGCATATTTTACTAAGAGAAAACTACACAGCCAAAGCCAGCAGCATGTAAGTCAGCATGATAGGAAAAGCACCTAGTAGTTACAGTTAGGCTACGTTCACACTGCAGGCAAAAGCGCATCAAATCTGATTTTTTTGACCCTATGCGACCCATATCCGATCATGGTATGACAGTGTGAACGGCACAAATCCGATATTTTCAAATCCGATCTGGGTCACTTTCGTATGTGGTACTGAATCCAATGTTTTAGAAAGCGACTGCTGTGAACGGTCATGTCGCATTAAATCCATCTTTTACGTCACTGACACAAGACAGACGCCAATTATCAGCGCCCGAGAAGACAACGCGAACGCTTCCTGGCCATCCAGTGTAGATGTCAGTGAAACTGTTGGGAAGACAACGTAAACATTTTATTTGTACTGTATAATCTGCAGATTCTGACAGAAATCTGCAACTATCCTTTGAAGCACCGCTCCTATCTAAAAGAGCAATAAGGATCATTATTAGGTTATTTACATTATTATGTAAATAACAAAATAACTTAAAGCAAAAATTGGGAAACGTAAAGCCCGAAGTCTTTATATTAAGGGCCATCAGTCAAACAATACTGTTTGGTCTAGATCTAAACGGAACACGTTGTTTGTGACGTCTTCTTTTGCGCATGCGGGCCGCTTTGAGCGTTCACACTAGAGCACGTTTGCTGTCGCATTTTATTTGTAGTGTGAACAAGCAGACAAAAAAAATCGGATTTGATCAAAAAATCGGATCTGAGCATTACGACCTGCAGTGTGAACGTAGCCTTAGAGTCCTGAATAAAGGTGTGAATGTGCCTTTAGTATGCCTCGGTTTCAGTGGTCAGTGAACTGAAAGGGATTATTCTCTATATATGTAAAGTGGGCATGAAACACTTGATGTATAAAGGTTAATTTACACTACCCCTGCTCTCAAAAACTGAAAAGATGTAACACTGTATGTGTAGCTGGATTTAAGAAACCTGTGATGTTGGAAAATGTCTGGCTGTGTTGGGAAAAGACAGACTAGTTTAATGCATAAAATACGGCTGATTGATCTGAAGGCTCTCCTCCACACAGTGCTCATTCATAAAATGCTTTACAAACCCAAACATTACAGCTAACAGCTGGATTTTCCCATTTGAGTCCAGCTAGCCAAACAACAAAGAGGCAGTGAAAGTGAAAAGTATAAATTTAGTTTTAACATAAAACTCTTTGTTGCAGTCAGAGGCAGCACAAAAGTGATCACTTGAAACAGATTTTTAGTTTTAGTCACCTTGCTTTCCATTGAGTTATCGGTTCTGTAACTAGTTAGCTAACATAAACTAATGTAAGTCTATTGACTACAAGAAACCAACCAATCCGGTGACGTTACGCTCTGTACTGAAAGATTATAAACATGTCTTAAAAATAGGATTTCTTAAATCTTGCTTCACAGACAGTTTTACATCTGTGTCAGTTTTTGAGATGATGATGTAAATTGATAATGATGTAAATTAGCCTTTATAAATGAAGTGTTTCATGTCCACTTTAAAGTTAGGAAAGAAAGCTATAAAAATAACTGGTTTAGTTAATAGACTTATTCCAGGATTATACTTGTTTGTGAACGCGGAAACCGTGACTAAGTAGTTATTGTTATTAAACTTTTTTCAGTTGTGCTTGAAGCCAAGTACTTAGGGCCCCACTCACAGAAGCCTGGACACCGGTCAGTGACACCCCCTCTCTGTTTAGTTTGGTTGCTAGCAGATGTGACTGAGAATAAAGTAGCAAAACATAAATTTTTTTTTGTTTGTTTGCTTGTTTGTTTTGGGGGGGGGAGGGTTGCCTGTCCCATTTGGATCTTTAGCCATCAGAATTATTGTCTGAAGGCCAAGAAAGATGCCTAGCAGATTTACTTTACCAAGTGCATCATCATGGCCTTGCCATATTGGTCCATTTAATTGACCTTTATTATTATTATGTATCTATTTTATTTTATTTTCAATTGTTACAGACAGAACAGACATTTAGAGTAAGAGAAGCTCAAACTCTAAATCTGTTTGTAAAGAAGTGTAAACATCCTGCTTTTTCTAAAATGACACTTCCACAGGATGGTAGGAATGGTTGAGACCTAATGGCTTACATTCGTACGGAGAACAACTCCAGCAAGACGCTTATAACGTTGACTCCACCTTTATTGGTTGAAATCAGACACTGCAATTAAGATAAACTGCTGTGGTTACTTGTAATATTTGGGGTTGAAAGATGGTGAGAGAAGAGGTAATCACCTTTAAATCCCTGCAGCCACAGAATCAAAGCAGTTCATTGTGACTTGGTTTATCTTATCTCTATTCCTGCAGGGTCTTTATCCCGAGTCTCATGGGATTGTGGACAACAAGATGTACGATGTGAAACAAAATGCTTTCTTCAGCTTGAAAACGGATGAGAAATTGAACCCCCAGTGGTATCAAGGAGAACCAGTAAGTGAATCTGTTGTGTAGAAAGGTGGTAAATTAGTACAGCAAAGCTCAGGCTCATAGAGGCCAAAAGTAAAACCTGCTAATAACAAATCCTTTTAAGGAAATTTAGGTTCTGTTGAACATGGCCACAAAAATGTAGCTCTCGGGAATACTGTTTATTTCACACATCTGAGAATCCCAGTTAGACAGTGTTGTTCATAGTCCTGCAAAAGTCAGCGCACTAGTCATGTGTTAGAAATAGAAATACTGTGTTCATCACAATGTAATTTGCTTTCTATGAACGACACAAGTCAGTCAGCAAGTTTGATTGTTGAGAATCGGTTCTCCCTGTAAGGAGTTTCTTGATTATAATTATGGATTGAGCTCGTAATAAGTGACAGCTTGTGAGGGCTGCGTGTGGTGCTTGTTTAGATGCTTAGTGGTTTTCATTTAAATGAGAGGCCTCTTAAATCTCATTTCTCAAGTGTGTGACAAAGTGCTCTTCTTGAAATTACACAATTCAGCTGCAATATGGCTTTTCAGGAGGGAAGAAGAGATGGATGACCCCTGTCAAGCAATTTAGTCTGTAGGAATGAATTCTTTCATAATGACTTTTGAACCAATACAGCTAAGTGCATCAGCCAAATGTTTAGGAGACAGCTGCATAACTAATACATCTACCTGCAGATCTAATGGGTATTCATTTAGAATAAAATCCTACTCTTAGGTTGCCTTCTGACTTGACAGGGCTGTGAGGGATTACGCTTTTAGCTTGATGTACTAAACACTGGTGCCGCAATGTACTGAAAATTAATTATCCAATTTTCTACTGCAACTCACTCAGAATAGAGTCTAGATGGCACTCTTTTCTCCTCCTCGTTTCTATTAATTTCATACATTTTTTCATTTCTCTATCTCACCTAACTTCTCTCGTCAGGTCTGGCTCACGGCCATCTATCAGAAGCTGAAATCAGCAACTTTCTTCTGGCCAGGCTCTGATGTAGCCATCAATGGCACCCTCCCAAGTTTTTACAAGATGTATGACAAGTAAGAGCAATGCCATGCAAGCTTCTGATCCAATGCCAATGAAGTGTAAAATGTAGCTCAATGCAGTGCTGTATCAATGCTTTCATAAATTACATTTGTCCCACAGGTCTGTTACATTTGAGAAGAGAGTGTCAACACTGCTTGACTGGCTCAATTTACCTGAGGGAGAAAGGTTCATGTTCATCTTTATGATAACAAAGATGATGTTGTAAGTTCCCATAAGGAAACTCTCTATATCACTCGTAACTGTTGGCTTTCTGTCTTTAGACCTGACTTCTACACTTTATACCTGGATGAACCTGATTCAACAGGACATTACTATGGGCCAGAAAGTACGCAGGTGAGTTATTTGCCTGTATTAATAAGCCGGTTATTGATTACCTAAAAGAATAACTAGGTAAAAGAAGGGAACATCATTAGAGGAAAGCTCTGTATGGAAAATTTGTGTGCTGACAGTGTTCGTCAGCTGACTGAGCATGCCTTACAATCACAGGTTCACTCAGTTGTGTAATGTATGCCTGGGGTTTCAGTTAATATGCTCCTGCTAGTGTAAATTGGTCCTGGTGAGCTGAAAATTAAGCACAAAATGAAGAAGAAAAATGTGTTTAACTGCTTTAACTAGGATAAACACATTTTAGGATTAGGATTCAACTTTATGGTCATTACACATGTATAAATGCAGGATAAGAAAATACAGTTTGCATCTAAGTGCAAGAGTAGTAAGTGCAATAAGAGCAATTATATACAGATAAGCAGAGGGCTACTAAATGTATGGATATACTGATATATACAGATAAGGGTAGTATAAATGGTGGAATAGTTATGAACAGACTATGTACAGAGAGACCAAATATACAGATGAACTACAGACAAATGTACTGTTGTATACAGATATACAGATGATCTGTATAGCATACAGATGCTGTATATTGCTATACAGACGGGCAGATATACAGATGAACAAATATACAGATTTTACCACATTGTATCCATGAAATCCGGCCAAGCTCAGGATTAGGGCACCAACTGAAAACTGTTCCTCAACTGAGGGAACTCGACGCTGATGTGAACAATGGATTGTTTGGTAGGACATCTGCACTAAAGGGAGTTTGTCCATAGCAAACTGTTTGAGCAGAAGGGTGTTAGTGAGTGTGCTGATTGCATTTGGTTTTGTTTTTTTTGGAACTGTATGTCTTGTCTTGTTCAACAGTTTAAAGAGAAGCTAAGTTGCTAGCTGACCAACCACCTGATTCTGGCATCTGTCCTGAATGACTCCTTGATGCCTTTTAAGTGTGGTGTTTTTGGAACGTAGGCCCTTGGGATAAAATCAGGATGCTGTGAAGTGATTATGAGTCTCTCAGCTGAATTAAAACCTTTTTAGCAGCTCTCTGGTGAGATGGAAGTGGTGGTTGGTGAAAGGGAGGTCTACTCAGCTCTGCTTACTGCGGCCTGCACAACGAAGGACCTGTAATGCTGTTTTTCTATTTTCATTTATTTATAGTTATTTTATTCCACTGAAAGTATTAAGTCCAACCTCTTCAAATAGTCAAGATCGTCTCTTATGGTAACAAATCTGTTAGTTCATTTTGCTGGGTAAATATTTATCTAAAGCACATTGTTGATAGGGCGTTTGAATGGCAAAAGCACAGTGATTCTCAGTGTTGTTGTTCCAGTCGTGGTAACATTTTAACTCTGTTAGAACTTCTGTTATTCATTTAGATCGTTCTGGCCTTGCAAAAGGTGGACAGGATTCTGGGCATGCTGATGGATGGCCTAAAAGCAAAAAACCTGCACAATTGTGTCAACATAATAGTCGCATCTGACCACGGTGAGATAAATATCAACTCTCCACAGCTGGGATACAGTTTACATGGGATGACTGAGACCGAAAATTACCAGTTTAAACTGAAATACACTTTAAAAGAAAAGAAGCATTGTCTTATGAAAGCTAGCAGGTGGCTTAATTTCTGATGGAAATACTGAAAACGACTGATTCACTGAAGTGTTAACTAAAATACAAATGGACATATTTTGAGCATTTTTGAGGAACTGAGCAGTATATTGCAAATGGAATTCAAAATAGCCAGGCTTTCTTTCCATTCGCTCACATAAAGGGGCATTCCACATGCTTCTTATTCCAGTTAGTGACGTCCTCAGCTGATGATGATAACATGGAGACCGAAATATAGCAGAAATGGAACACTTCTGCAATTTGACAAGCAATTAATCCTGCAAGAAATCATAAATCTTAGGATTTGAAACACAAAATAGTCAAACATTTTGATTCCAGTTAATTATTTTATCACTGAGAGCATCCTCGGTGTTCCTGTTCATTTCTAAGATGAATGAGGCACATTAGAGCTCTGAAACCTTAAACTGGATACCTTAAAACATTAAATGTTACTGTTACACACCCTAATAAGGAGACTTGGAAATTGTTTTAATTTGTTGGCAGTTCAAAGTGAAATTATTTTGAGTCTTGATGTCAGTTTGTCAGTTAGTGTACCTGCTGTCGGTAAGAATGGAGACCGCTGCCACTGAAGAACTGAATAAAGAAGTCATGTGCATGTTAACTATATAAAATGTTCTCAGTATTAGAGAAAGAGGTTTCTTTGGATGGCTGGAGACCAGATGTTTAGCCCTGTAATTACACACTCAAGATCAGTGTGTTGGAGTGGATGTGGCTCAGGGCGATGCCCAGATATCCTCATCTAAGACATTACTTCCAAGAGAAGAAGTACATTTTCTAAAATCCATGAACAGATTTTGTTCTTCATTAAAGGTTTAGCTTCATATCATTTACAAGAGAAGATGTTAATTTTAACTTTAGTATTTGGTAGTCCCTAGCTTGGCAAGGCAAGAAACAAGCAATTAGCTGGAGTGCTCATGTCACACCCAAAGACATTGCCAACACATGTTACACTGTCATTTTGAATGTCACGTCCTGCATGCAATGCAAACTTAAGCTCTGTGAATCCCTAGAAATGAATGGAAAGTACGCCACAAATCTTCCCCTTTTATTGAGGAAAGCTTTAAACTTTGTATTTCAGAGGAATTACAAACTTTTGTAGCTTTTATACAACATTAAACAGTTCTTAAACATTATAAGGTTTTGTTTAAGAACTTCTTCTGGTGCCTTTCTCTGTGTCATTTGTTGCCCTGCTGAAGACAACCTAGTGAAATGACTTCTTTTCAACAGGCATGGAGAGTGCTTCATGTGAAAGGGCATCATATGTGTCAGATTTCCAGAAAGACACCTCTGGTTTCACTGTAATCCAAGGCCCAGCTGCTCGCATCAGACCAAGTCGCCTCCCACAGGATTACTCTTCCTGTGAGTTCCTGTTTAAAAACACCAGAATTCCCTTGTTCCCAGATTTATATCATTACTCTGTGCCACTTTTAGGAGATTAGCATGCCTTACTTGGTACTGTGTTTCTTTTTTCAGTTGACTATGAGGGCCTGGTGAAGAACTTGTCGGTATGCGAAATATTCCAGATCGGACTCTTGTATTCATAAGAAGAATGAAAAATTATCTGCTTGCTTGGAAAGTCAAACAGTCCCATTCTCTCTCTGTTGTGTGTTGATTCCCCTTGTCTGTGTCCATTTTGAAGTGCAGGACCGTTGACCAGCCAATGAGGCCGTACCTCAAAGAAAACCTTCCCAAAAGAATGCACTTCGCTAAAAACATCCGCATAGAGAGGGGTCACCTCTACATGAAGTCAGGCTGGCAAGCAGCACTGTAAGTAAACAATTAGTGATACTCTCTTTAATTTTTAATGTGTTAGTTCATCAGGTCGGGCTGCATGAAAACTTTTTATTAGTCCTATTAAAGGCTTAGTTTAGTGCTAAATTCTAACCTAATTAAGTTAACATTTTTGTTTACAGGCATGTAATTTGTGCATTTTGGTTTAACAACTTAACTTAAACAACAAACTGTATGTAAAATTAAATCATAGAAATCTCATGGCCGTGTAAACCTCCTGTCGTAAAGCAACACGTCATGCTGACCTGCATCTAGATCATTCTGCTGTCGATGAGTCTGAGAATACAAGCATATATGTTAAGCTGTAACTACAACGTTCATGTCTCTACTAAACATCTCTGGACTACCTTTGTGTATATTCGCTTACATGCAGCCTCAATATGTAGGTGTGATGTTTTGACTCGTATTATTATTATTATATTGTTTTATAAAACAGAATGTTTTTTATTGTTTCCCTTTTTAGCTTAGCAGAGCTGTTTTTTAAGAAACAAGCTGACATATATTATATATCTTTATTTTTATTTTTTGCTGATGCTTCCTTGAATGTAATTTGTGCAATCATCCAAAAATGTTGGCAGACACAATATACAGTTACACCTAAAAGGGAAGTATGTTTAGTGACTTCCAGAGTTTATTTTGTTCTGTGTTTTTTCCCTCAGATAAATTTTATTTTCTCTCCTCAGTAAACGCAGCGATATCAAGTATTGCACTGGCGGATTCCACGGCTCTGATAACCTCTTCACCAACATGCAGGTCAGGGGAATTTAATTTAAAGGTGTGTGTGTGTGTGTGTGTGTGTGTGTGTGTGTGTGTGTGTGTGTGTGTGTGTGTGTGTGTGTGTGTGTGTGTGATACACGTTTTGTCTGTGATAGATCAGTGTTAACAGCACCAGTCAGATCATTTTGTACGATCACTTTGCCACAATACCCAGAAAGAGTTGTGTCAGAGATGTCCTTGTAACAGTGGGTTTTCCCATTTTAATCATCGCATAATACCTCACACATATCTTACAATGTTTTGACACACATGTTTGGATAATCAAGTCGTGCTATGAGTTTGCAATTGTAGAAAAAGAAACTATCTTGTTATATTCTGCTGTTTGCTCAAAAATATTAGATTTGTTCTGGATTTCTTTTTTAAGTAATGTTCGAGCTTTGGTGACTACATATACTGATCACAGCTAAGAATTAGTCCAACATGATCTTTATACTGTAGTTTGTTTATGGAAATAAAAAATAGGATATATTATTTTAATCAGTGAGCTTTAAATCTGCATATAGACGGATTTTTGAACAGAAGGCAGGTTTAAAGCACTGTCATCTTTGAAGATGGACCATTCAGCTTGCTATGTGTGCTCGCTTCAAAGCTTGTACATCTGGAAAAGCACCATCAGTCCTGAAAGTTATATACAGGTTTTAGACCAACATCTGCTCTCATTCCCATGACATCTTTTTCAAGGAAGGGCTTCTATATTTCAGAAAGATGGTTTTGAATTACATACCACAGCTATTACAGAATAAAGCACGATGTAATGTCTTAATAGATGAGCTTTAAAAAAAACTCTCGGTGCTAAACTGATCTGCCTGTAGTCCAGAACTTCACCGGTTAAAAAAAACTTGGGCACATCGTGAGACAAATATACGACAAAGAAGAATCGCGACTGTTGAGCAGCTAGAATCCTATATCAGTCAAGAAATGGACAATGTTTTTCTCCCCAAAGTCCAACAGCTGGTGTCCTCAGTTTCCAGATGTTTATGAACTGTTGTTAAAAGAAGAGCAGATGCTACACAGCGGTAAACACGGCCCTGCCCTAGCATGTTTTCTCACAGATTTTGGAATTAGGCTTGTACTTGTAGTGAAACAAATCTAAAGGAAACATATGCATTAGGTATGTCTAGACCCGGACCTAAGTACCGTAATTACATTTTGTGTGGATTTCTCTCCACCTACACAATCAACTTTTGACTGAGTTTGTTTTAATTGAGAAAGGTGTTTCTGTCTGCCACCTTAATGTCAGTCTTTATGGTATTTTTGTCTATGCTTCCGGCCGTGGTTTACACTGGAATTTGACTCAGTATAATTAGCTTACAAGACTGCAGACCGATCTAAAAAAAGGGTCGAGAAAAGTCAACTTTTGTGTAAGCGGTTGCCAGCCTGCCTGCACACAGCTAGGGAAAGTTGCAAACTGCCCTTGAAATAGATCACAGGCAAATATCTGTGAATCCATCCAAGGCTTTCCTAGAATTGAAGCCCTTCACTTCTGAGGTTACGTAAGGTCATTTTACTGTTTTAGTTCCTTTCAAATATTTATGCGTTATCTAATTAAAGTGTTCAGTGATTTCTTTTTGTTGTACAAAAACAATTTAAAGGTTTTAAGTTGATAAACTGTCAAACTGTAGATCATATAGTTCAATATACGCACTTGTTTATTTTACAGGTTGAAGAGAAATTAATGAAAGTCTTACCTGGTTTTTTGTTTGTTTGCTTGTCTCCATCAGGCAATCTTCATTGGCTACGGTCCAGCATTTAAACACAGCACAGTTGTGCCAACTTTTGAGAACATTGAATTATATAACCTCATGTGTGGTAAGTTATATTGTTCCTTCACACTGCTCACTGCACATTCTTCTCCTGTCCTGCAACGAAGCCTAATATTTTTTTTTTATCGTTTCTTTTTCGTTAGACATATTCGCTCATTGACTTTCATGCTGAGAGCTAAATGAGAACATCTATTTTACTCTTGTACCCTGAAGTTTTGTTAGCCCTTTGAGGTTGCCAGGCGAGCTGAGGAGACTACAAGAATTACCGATCAAAGCCGAGAACTAGTCCACCCCACAAACCTTCTAAATTGATGCCATAGTCTTAAACTGCAGGAGATATAATGTTTCAATCAGTGAGCTCTAAACATGCTCATAGGCTGACTTTCTGTCTAAGGTAAGCATGCTGCAGCTACGTATTTAGCAGATAAATGTGACACTAGCAGCAATGGCTTGAGCTCGGGGCATTTGCTGAACGTGTAACTATTTCTGCAGTGACATAATTAGTTTCCATCGCTTCATCATATGAATCATGTCCACAAGACACAGTCAAGTCAGCAAGTCTACAAGAAGTCATCTGATTTCATTTTTATTACTTTGCCTAACATAGTTTACTAACCCCATAATTCATCAAATTGCTAAAAACAGCTGCTTATTTTTAAAAGATAAGTTAACACACTTGAGAAGAGGAAGCAGGTATGCTTCGTCTGCACTGAGTTTTAGGTCTGTGTTTTACTTCCAAAATAAAGAAGTGTTAGAAAAAGGAAACCATATCTACCAGACTGAAGACAAGATAGAGTAACCCGGATATTTCAGTACTCTAAGTCAGAATCAAACTGAACACACAACCATACGGTGTATGCCGGCTACAGTAGTGGCTCTTTAGGTCAAAATAGAATAGGTGTGTGTTCATCTTCCATTAATTCAGGCAGTATCAATTTTTAAAAAGTAGAATTTAGGCAGATTTACTCTTTGCTGGTGTATTTTTTTAACATACATAATAAACTGACTATTAAGGCTCACTCTCTTTGAAACAAAGCAAATTTGTATAAGTCGCTGAACTCTTATAATTGTACTGTGTGATAACTTTGGTAAAGATTTGTTGTTCTTGAAACCATGACTCTTCTTTTAATTTCAAATACACTGACATGTTGTCTTATTTGATGTGTCCTATTCATTCATTTAATTAATCATTTTCTTCTCTTATCAAACAGATCTTCTTGGCATTCGTCCTTCTCCAAACAACGGGACCCACGGTAGTCTGAACCACCTCCTGAAGCACCCCGTCCATAATCCAGTTCTCCCAGCACAGCTCTCCCACGACATCCTCTGTAACTCTAATGTGCTCTTCCCCTCTGACAACCTGCAGTGCACTTGTGAATCCCAAACCACAGAAATGGTATGTGCTAACCAGATTTATTTTTGGCCTCTGGATGCAAATGTCAAGAATGAAATATATTTACAACTAGAGTGAAATGTTGTTAATTTTTTAAAGCCATTTATGGGACCCACTGAATGTTTTCTAATAGGTTTAAAGACCCTAAGATTATTGTCAACCTACTAGATGGATGGGCACAAAATTTTCTTTGACTAGACAGCTATGGACCAGTGCCTGGCCAACATTTAAATTAGTCTAGAACTTATTTTTATATGAAATATTCTTTCTGTCAGTAAACTCCCATTAAACTATACAAAGATCTGCCAAACATCTATGTTTTTAAAGGATTTTATTGCTAATGCTAGCATTAGGTTTTAGCTTAAAGCAACATATATACCCACTGCATATTTGTCTGAGTGTCACAAATGTGTATTACACAGTTATACATGACAACTAAGCTCCACAAATGTGCACATTAGGTTGTGTCTCAAATGCAAGTTTATTTATGGGCACATTAATAAAATACAAGAGCTTTCTGTATATATAAAACTATTAGAGGCGTTCTCTTTTTACAGATCGTAGTTGCGTGCAGTTACATGCATATGCATTGGTTAGATTTGAGACTCTTCTCCGTTTTTTCAGCTGATGAGTGCTTTGTGGTGGTAGATAACTGGGACATGTGGGCCTTTTGCTAGAGTCATAATTTCAAAGAGTTTTGTAAATAAACAGAACAGCTCATCACTCCTACATCACAAGATCATGTAACACACATTCAGGCTTATTTTGGGACTAGTTTCTATCCACAGTGGCATTGCTGTGGACTTTTAGGTGGTTATATTTGGTGCTTCACTTAATCATTCTTTGTGTGCACAGCGAAAAATGAGAATTCTCCAGGAGAGAACACAGCAGAGCTCGGGGATCTGACTATAACTGCATTTGCATGTTCTGAAGCTAACATATGATGTTGTTTGGTGTGTTTAACCCCTATTCTTTCATCTTTGACTGTGCTAAATGAAGTCTTGTGTTTGGATTATATTGCTGTATAACACCTTTTAGAGCAATAGAATTGTTTTAAACCTGCTTGCAGAAAAATTGAAAAAAGCTGGATTGAAGGTCATCAGAGAAATAAAAAGTATCTAGCCCTCCTAATACTAGACTTTTCCAGCAATGGACAAACTATTTTCCAGTGTATTGATTGGTGTGTAGATGTTGGCTGGAAAACCCAGAGTTAGCCTTGAATTTACTTCACTAAGCCCCATATCATGATCAATAATACAGGCCTCTGGTGTACGCCGGATTTATGGTTTTTGATTCGTAGTTAGTGGCAGTGGTTACTACTTGGTCTCTTCTGATGAAGTTCATTAACACATAGTGAAGTGCATGGAGTAATAGAAGTACTACTATCCTACTCTCAAACTAGAGAAGCTGGGATATGTACAAAAAATGAGCTTTAAAAAATGCATTGACATCAGAGCTTTATATACTGAATACGTGGTTAAATTGTGTTAGCTATTTCTAACACAATCATGCTAACAAGATGAATTTCTTTTCAGGTGGAACAAATGAACAGAAATCTCTTGGCATTGAGCTCAAGTGAGAATCATTTCACTTTTCTTTGCACATGTGGTGGTTTTAGAGATGCTTCTGTCTGATACACATTACACATCTTCTCTTCAGGTGAGAAATCCAGCTTGCGTCGCCTCCACGAACCTTTTGGCATCCCTCGAGTCATCCAATCAGGTGCCACATTTTGTCTGCTGCACCACTTAAACTACCTCAGCGGATACAGCAAAGACCGGCTCATGCCCCTCTGGGTATCCTATACCATTCAGCCTCTGGTGAGTCCGCTGGCTGGAGCTTTTATCTCTAAACATAGCCTGTAGAGTTGAGTCGTTCCGGCTATATTTCTTCTGTGGTTATGGTTTGGCAGCAGATTGCACAGAGCTGTTTAGTATCTGAATTTCTTTTCTGAGCAGCTGTTACTCATCTTCTCTGCTCATGTTGGTTCAAGTCTCTCTTGTCTTTGTCACTATGTGGTTGAGCTCTAGTGTAAATTATGACCTCAAGCAGAGTGATGCATTCCCGGGAGACTTGAGACTATTACTGTACTGTCTGAATCATGGTGCAAGAGAGGAAGTAGCCATTGAAGCTCTATCTAAACAATAGAAGTAAAACAGAGAATCTTATTGTACCATCTGTATTTTTTCCCTCATACTGCAGATTGTTTGTGACTGAGCACTATTATCTTCATCACACTTGTAAACCCACACAGAACTTCAGTTTGCAGCTTGTCAAAGCTGAGCATTTCCATGAAAAGCTAGTTTTGAGCTAGTTTGCCTATTATAAAAAAAAAAGGACAATGTGACTAAGATATCATCCAAGATGTTTCCTGGACAGAGTCGTAATGTTTAGTATTTTATGACAAAGAGGAATAATAGTAAAAAAGTAAAGGGTAAAAAAAAATGGTTTTACATGCAATTAAATATTAATTTGCCGTTCATTTATTATAGATACTTACACAAGTTCACATCTGTGGCCCTGGCCTCTAGCTTAATGCAAGATCTCATTTAAAATTCCTTTCATCTGCCTCTTGGGGGAAAAAACCCTTTTTCCACAAGTATATTGTATATGTTGTAACCCACGAGCTGTTCATACAGGCGCTGACACTATGTGTTACTTTAATCTCAGTAAAGAGTAAAACTATGGCTCCACTGTAAAATTTACCAGTGAAAAACTGCAGATTTCTTTTAACAATTTCCCGACACCATCGTCTGTCTAAAACATCTCCACAGTTTAGTTCTTTTTGGCACTTTGATTTGATTGACTTATTGCCCGTTTTATGTCTAATAATTCTTACATCTTAGATGGGCTGCCTTCTTAAGAAAATAGAAAATCTTTTCATTGTACTCGTGCTGATTTGTCTTTGGGGCGAGGCCAAACCGCTTTGGGGGATTGCCCAGATTTTTTGTATGCGGTTTAAAAACACAAAAGTGCATCTTTATGTAGACATGGTGTAAACGGTATGTGATTCAAAGCGGGGCAGCACGGTGGAGCAGTGGTTAGCGCTGTTGCCTTACAGCAAGAAGGTGCCGAGTTTGTGTGGAGTTTGCATGATCTCCCATGCTTGGTGGGTTCTCTCCGGGTGTTCCAGCTTCCTCGCACAGTCCAAAGACATGCAGATGTGAGTGCCAATGGTTTACTGTCTCTCTGGCAACCTGTCCAGAGTGAATCGTGTCGTCACCTGCGACACTGAATTGAAAAGGTGGAAGAGGATGGATATTTTAAAGCTGCTCTTTTTTCTGGGAAATGGAAATACCCAAAAATGTCTTTCTTTCATTGTTTCTATTTAGCACTCTATTCTTTGAAATTATATAAATGTTTTGCATAGCTGGTTCCAAAATGATATAACCCTTGGTGCTACCAAGAATTTAAGAGGAAACAAATGTGTCTTTTTTTTTCCCTCTGTGACAGAGGATGGAAGTGATTTATTGGTTTGGGGGTTTTTTTGGGAGCTGTGCGCACAGAATCAGAGCAATGCCCTTGCTGACCTATACACACATGGAGAGCAAAACCCAAGCCAAACCATCTTACACAACACTCGCGTTTTAGTCTGGACTCCCACTTATACTGTCAACACTGACTGATCCTCGCTCTCTCTACCTCTTACTCTCTCTCTCAGACCAGAGTGCAACCTCTGAGCCCAGAGTTGGAGGCGTGTGTCCGTGCTGACGTACGCATCCCAGCAAACAACAGCCAGCAGTGTCTGCGCTACAAAGACAACTCTGATCTTGCCTATGGCCTGCTGCATCCCCCCAGTGAGTGTTTGTGTTTGTGAACCTGCATGTGTGTGGTATTGAGGGAGACAGTTCATCCCTCTCAGCCTGTGTTGAAGTCAGGTCGAGATGTTTCAGAGCACATTTTCACGTACAGAGCAAACATATGCTTCACAGCTGCGTGAGAGAAAAGCATCCACTTCCTCTTGAGTGACACTCTGCGGATTGAATGTTTATTTATCTGTTTCTGTATATCTGTCTTTTGGATGTTCAGAGACAAGAATACACAAAGTTTGTGGTAGATTTTCCAGGGTTAACAGAAAAAGCTGGCCAACATGAAACCTTTGATCTGCCTCTGGTTCTGGTAGAAAGTGAGCACAGCGATAGCAGTGATAGCAGATTAATTAATCAATTAATTTCTCTTGAGTGAATTAATGTAGCAACTTTTTAATGTGAACAACTTTCACTTTTTCTGGAGGTAAGACGCAGTCATTAGCACTGTCGCCTCACCACAGTTCAGACCTCCTGGTCCTCCAGTTTTCCACTACAGTCTAAAGACCTGCTCATTAGGCTAATTGGTGGTTCTAAATTGGCTGTATGTTTGTCAGTGTGTGGTTGTCTCGCTTTCTGCATTAGCACTGTAACAGGCTGGTAACCATTCAGGGTGCTATTGCCTTTTGCAGCTCCTACATGACCCTTCGTGGTGTGTTTAAGTGTTTGGAATGTGGAATCAATGTGGATGTTAGAAAGGTGACGTGTAGTATTTTACTGATCAGTGCTTAAACAAGTCACAATCTGTTTTAGCTCTGTTGTAATCTGGGCAAACCAATACCAGTACAAACAAGAGCACACAAGAGGGTACAGCTCCCCCCAAAGGGCAAGGGCTATACCAAAACTTTGATGTTTTATGATGTTCTTCTTACATGCTGAGTGATCAGTCTGTTTTTTTGCTTCTTGGTTTTTTGTATTTTGTTGTTTTTCACGAGGAGGGGTGGGACCTTTCAACTATGACTTTGCAGCATTACAAACCAAAATTGTGTATTTTATTATCTGTAGCCATATGATTGGAGCAGAATTGTCTGAAACCTTGAGATTTTAAGAAATATTAGTGGAAAATTTGAAAAGTTTTAAGAAATTTTCCAAGCTCAACTTTGACCTTGAATGCTAACAATGAAGGTCAAGGTCGAACGCTTAGCCAGCCTAGCTAATCCTTTCCCCCAGGCCTACTTTGTAGGTGGGCTGGAGCCTATCATAGCTGCCATGGTACACCCTGAACAGGTCACCAGTCTGTCGCAGGGCTAAAATCCTACAATTAACCAAATACCAACTTTCATTGCCATGTGTCTGAGTCAGCGATCCTGGAAGCTCCTGCCGACTTTTACGCCAGCTTTCCAAGCATGAGAAAAAACAATTTCCGATTCTTCTGACACCACATCAATGCGATTATTAAAATTAAAATAAGTCACAGGAGATGTAATAAAGAAGCCCTAAATCTGCCTGCATTCAACTCCACTAATTTGTAAATGTTTTTCTCAGCCAGTAAATCGCTATGCTTTAGTTTCACAGTAGACGCATCAGTCTTCACAACATGTAATCTAAGTTTTAATCCATAGCCAAATTCCATGCCCAGCAAATTCAGTTTGTCCTAACCTCTCATTTCCTCTATAGATCTGAGTGCCAATGTTTCAGACTCTCTAATCACGAGCAACATGGCACCGATGTTCCCTGCATTTAAAGGTGAGTCAGTTGCTTATTTGTTTCTAACTTTCCAGCTGCACCCAGACCGGTAAAAAGACCAGCAGTGATTCACAAGTTCAACATTTCTTAAAAGATCTGTCACAACTGAATGAGTCGGCTTAACAGCTCTCTGGATCTTTGAGACAGGCTCGATTTTGTTAAATGGGTCAAGCACTCAAGTTTTCAGACAGCAGGTATTGCGGTTTGCCAGTTTCCATTGCTTCAAATTATCCTGAGTTGCTTGAAAGCTGACAGCAAGCTATACTTTATCCCATCCCAAGTCCAGAGATCTAACTGATGTAATTATGTGGGACTTCGCCGCCCTAATTTACTTGAGCTTGTTCTGTAAAACGCAATCGAAGGTTTAGTTAGTGGAACAGTTCCAGGGTTAGTTTCCCTGCTTGCATGCTGTGTGTTTCCCTTACAGCAGGATTCAGCAGAAAGTCAGTATGTTTGTAAAGTGACTCACCACACTGTGCTCCACAAAGGAGCGCATGTAGGTTCTTCAGTCAAGGATCTGTGCAGGTTTGCTCTCATATGTCTTTGAAGGTTCTCAGTCATCCAGGTCATCGTAGTCAAAGGAGCTTGCAAAGAAAAGCGTCTGGACTTCTTTAAGTTGCTTGAAGACGTTTCACCTCTCATCCGAGAAGCTTCTTCAGTTCTAAGGACAAATGGTGGAGAGTCCCAGATATAACCTAGTGGGAGCAGTGCTTGCTGCTTTTCATACTTCATCCTTTATGTAGAGATGACTTAAATGGGCTGGATTACATGATTATGAAGCCTGAACTTGCTCTCAGTGTACTTTACAGCATTACAAAATCATCTGTCATATGTGAAAGAATATGTACCTCCATGGTGGTCTGGTAATTCCACTCTGTGGTTAGTTAGCCAACCCAGAACTGTTGAAACCTGTAGATTGTGCTGGGTGATTAAGATATTGCAGAACTGAGTTTTATCCTGACAACAAGCTGCAGAATGTTTATCAGCTGGGAGATGCTGCCCCCTGGTGGCTTTGCATGAGTGAGAAGGGAGGAAAACACGAAGGAAGACCAGACAAACACTTTAGCATAGGGTTGCCAACCGTCCCTTAAAAAACGGAATCGTCCCGTATTTAGAAACAAAAGTACACGTCCCGTATTGAGCTAATAAGGGACGCACTTTGTCCCGTAATACAGTGAGAATCAAACGTAGTCTATAAATGTTTATGGAATTAACACTTTGTTTGAAAACATAATTCCCAGCCCCTCTCCTGCTTTGTGACCAATGAGCTGACAGCACACTTATGACAATTCGAGTATGACAATTCAGATTACCGCTCATCTCATTGGTCGAGGAAAGGTCGCTTACGGAGAAAATACCGGAAGACAACAGATGACCAAAACAAGAAGCATGGTCAACAGGGAAACAAACGCCGACACTGCGGTGCAAGTCTCGGATGACAGTAAACCTAAAGCTGGGCAGACACTGTGCGATTTTTTTCAGTCACGTTATTCAGCTCCTGCTCAAACTGCACGATTGACTCGCAGGGGTTAGAAGTTCATAGGTCACGATGTACTCTCACACTATACGGCCCGATGCTCTGATGCGACCTGAGAGCTCACACTGTGCCTCCATAAAATTAAGGTTATAGCAGAAAATCTGTCGCTCTCTCTCTCTGTCTTTCACTCACACACACACACCACCACCATCAACTTTGCTAAATTGCTAATGAAAAACATGATCAGGCAGCTGTGATTGAGCAGCAGTGTAAATCCAGCTATTTTCACAGTTGTTGTGGTCGTGATAATTTTGTGATGCCACATGGAAAAGGCTCGGATGAGCTTTCCAAAGTTCTACAAGTTGTGCCTCCATCGCTTGTGTCCAGATCACACGCTGCACAGCCGTGCTGCTCCATCTTTTTCACCGACGTTTACGTGTTTGCGCGTGAGCAGTGTGAGCGGCTGCGGTGACACACTCACGAGCGATTGATGATCGGGAGCTGGTCATGAGGTGTTAATCACTTCTCGTTACCCCACGTATACTACACGACACACGATGAAGGCCAAAATCGGTCCGATCACTCAAAAATCGTCTTAAAATGGGCCAAAAATCGCACAGTGTGAGCCCAGCATTAGAGCAGCAATGTTTGTTCCCCTCAGAGAAAGGGAAGAATGGGAAAAGGAAAACACCTGGCTGGAAAAAGTTAATATGGGCATGTGCAGTGAATATCAGCGCTATGTGGCCAGAAGTGTGATAATATAATTTATTTTGTGTAATAAACAACTGCAAGGATAGATGATTACAACAAATTGATGACTAATACATAAAAGTAATACATAGATGAATAATGATGATGAGTTAAGATGCGTAATCATGGGAACAAGCGGGTTTTCAAACGGGAGCAGCTGATTAGCATTAGAAAAGCTGAAATAATACCTCAACTGAAGCCAATTGTACTAAATGCACTAAATGTGCACTGTTACAAGAATATTTTTCTTTCTATTGCTTTCTATTATTTTAAGTTAAGTAGGACAGAGTTCTTTTAAAGAAAGATTTACTTATATTCTCAAAAGTTAAGCATGACAGGCTTCTGTTTAAGAAAGAGACCTGTTTTACTGTGTTAATGTTGTCATTTTGAGCTAAAAATAAATGGCTAAATGATCATTTGTTTCACATGTGTTCATATCACAAAGAATAGAATATGCATCTACTTAAATCAACTTCAAGTCAAATGGTTAAAAAAAGAATTTCACACACAAAAAAAGAGCTAGAAAATTCACCACACTGGGAAGGGTGAAGACAACTGGGTCGCCCGGCCCTGGCCACGAGGTGTCCCTTATTTATTTTTCAGGGAGTTGGCAACCCTACTTTAGCATGTGTTGCATGCAGGGGAAAAAAGCAAAATAAAGTGATGTTTCTGTACAACACAGTGGAGCACTTAAAGCTTTTTTTGTGTGTATTTTCCCAGCCGTTTGGACGCATTTCCATGACGTCTTCCTCCCAAAATATTCACAGCAGCTGAACGGAGTCAACGTCATGAGCGGGCCAATATTCGATAAAGACTATGATGGACACGTCGATGAATTAAAAAAGATATCAGGGTAAGACAGAAGCAAAATAACATTTACTGTTGCTACACTGTGCAGTTCAGTCATTTGGTTGTCAGAAGCTGCATATTTTTATGTTGACAGTTTAATGGTCTGATTAAATTCAGCCTTTTTCATTTATTGTGCTTTACAACTGCTTATTAGGTGTTATTAAAAAAAAGACTTAAGTGGTGACTCACTTTTAAGAGTCTCCATTTGGCCTTGACGTAAATCCAATGAAGAAAGATTTCCAAAGAAAACTGCAACTTCAGTTTCGTTTTGAAGTTAGTTCTTAAGAAAGTAACTGTGTTGCAAAAATGCTTATGTAGACATTTTCATTTATTCCTCTAGCAGACACAGCAGGTCTGAAGCAAATCAAGAAGGATTTCTAATAGTGAGAACATTAGTACAATATTCATCTTCACACATGAACAACAATTTTGATTTTTGTATTTCCTGAGTGAGGTGCATGTGAGCAATGTGTTACAAATCCATATTCTAATGAGGGCACACACATAAAGTGTGTTATGTTATTTAACTGTGGATGCTTCTGGACACAGTTTGCACTTTACCATCATGTTCTTGTCCTTCTGCATAATAAAAATTAAATTAATCACCACTAATCAGAAGTTGGAGAGCCCACTATTTATTTTTACTTCACCCTCCAAGCAATTTAGGTCAGGTTCAGGTAGCTGACGTGCAGGAAAAGGACACCTTTGGTTTGTTTTTGGCCTTTTTTTCCTATTTCTGTTTTGTTTTTTTCTACTTTTTTCACCAGTCATGCAGACATATGAAGAACAAGCAAGCAAACAAAGCAGAAAAATGTAATTTGATTACAGATTAATTGCAGATTAGTGCTCTACTTTAGAATGAGTTACACCCAACACCACTAATTAGTCATTTTCCAGCTTCCTACTAAAAAATGGTCATTCTGTTTTCTGCCTGAGGCAGCTCCCTCTCCCAAACCAAACTGAGTCTCACTGTTGTGTCCTCAAACTGAGAACATTCACCAGACATTTAATGTTTATATGGATCCACACAGCAAAAGTATTAACAAATAATTAAATAAAATGTCTGAAAGCCATCGTAAGATAAACCGGTACTCAGATAAAATCTAAGAAACATAGCACATAGTTCATGTGTAAAACTGATTATCAGTGTCCAGGCAGCTGAGCACACTCAATTAGATGAGATCTGATGGGGAATTCTAAAGTGATGCAATACCTGTGCTGCTGTAGACATTAATTTCCAGGGTTTACAAACTACATTCAGGCTTTATCCAGACTAAATTTTTGATGTTAAAATGCAATGTATTACATAAACATCCCTGGTAGTTTTGGTAGAACATTTGCACATGGCTTAACTCAAGCTCTGCCCTTCCTGCCTCCTGTCCAAAGGAAGGCCAAACAAAATACCCTAGCTTATATGTCCATTGGAACGCATCTGAAAATGAAGATTGCATGACTGTTTGTGTACACCAGGAATGCCTCCTGCATGTAATGGTGCATTAGCTGTTAGCATTGAACACAATGTCAGTAATCCCTCTGAGCTGTTATTTAATGGTAAACTAATCAGGTATCCTTTTTCTTCTGCAGAAGGGTTTGTGATAAGAGAATGATAATTTCGGAGGAGGACATGTAGTGACTGATAAGCAAACGTGGGTTTCAAACGTCTCCAGTTTTTTCTCTTCCAAACTAAGAAATAGTCATGGTCCTGGGCCATGTTGGCCCAGTGTTCTTAGTTTCCTTGTATGTTTGTATTTTGTTCCTTGCTTAGGCCATGTTTTCTGAGTTGCCCTGTTGTGTTGTTCCCTAAGTGTTCTCCCTTCATGGCTCTTACCCCCTGTGTGCCCCTCTATGTATTTATGAGCCCTCGTCCCCTTTCGTGTTTATTCCGTGTCTCCCCTGCCTGTTACGTTGGTGTTCTACTCGTGCTCTCTCTCCTCCTGTCTGAACCTCTGTACTTCCTGTTTCACCTCTCCCGTCAGTGTTCAGTTCACCCCGCCCTGTCTCGTTATGATTATCTGTGTCAGCTGTGTTCCCCGTGTGTTCCCACTTCCCTCGTTAACCCTCTGTGTATTTCTGTCTGCGTCTCCCTCTGTTCAGTGTGACGTCGTCCCTCATGCTGTGTGCATCTCCCTGTGTGTCTCTCTGTGAGTTTTCCAAGTTCCCAGTTTAGATGAGTTTGTATTTTCCCTGCCAGCAAATAAAGCTGAGTTTTGAGTTCACCTCCCTGAGTCTGTGAGTCCTGCACTTTGGGTCCAACTCCTGCCTGCCGCACAGCGATTCATGACAGAAATAGTTGTAGAGTTTCAGAAAATGAAGAAACAGTGTAGACTCTTAAAAGTTGTGTTTTTTATATATATAACAAAATATGTATATGCATTGTGTTGGCCATATGCTTAAGTTACTGAATTTTTATAATATATTTTATCTGTATGTCTCAGTATATGCATATTATACCTAATGTGCCTAAAGGCTGACGCGCTCATTTTGCACATTAGCTTAGTGCACTGGTTCAATACACCCCACCCTCACTCCACCCAACCCCCCAGTGATGTTAATTTAAGTGCATAAATGAACTCATTGCATCGTTTTTGTTTGAATTAAAGAATTGATGCAGCCTTCACATGCACAATTGTCCAAAAACTCAAAAGACTTTGAGAAAGTGTTTGAGAAACCCATGGGTTACATTGAGGGTTACTCATAGCTCACGCAGTAGCACACATTGCAACCAAACTAAATTTGGCTATTCCCCTTTAATAGCTCTCGGTTTTTGCTTAAATACTTCATGCTGGCTGGAACATGTGATGTCATATACTCCTATACTCAGATCAAGATTTGGAAACAATGAGAGTTGAATGACGTTTGGTGGGTTGCTTTGTGACTGTTTGTTATACAACATGCAGACAATTCTTAAGAAGTCTTGAGCACTTGAGTTGAAGCCAGTTCATCCAAAAAGGCTTCTTGAGAAAGATTCCTTCAGTTTTCAAATAAAAGGTGAAATGTCCTTCAGAACCTAAAAAGGTCAGAGATGTGAATCTCCCGTTCCACCACATCATAAAGGTGCTTTACTGCATTGAAATCTGATGACTGTGGAGGCCATTTGAGTATAGTGAACTCAAGGTGATGATCAGGAAACCAGTTTGAGTTGATCTGCTGGAAGCAGCCAACAGAAGATAGTACACTGTGATCATAAAGTATGGCTATGGTCTGCAACAATACTCGGGTAGGCTGTGGTGTTTAAACATTGCTCAGTTGCAGCTCGTTTTGCGCAACGCGTAATATACTGACGAATTGTCACGTCCCGAGGCGTTCCATGGGAACGCGAAAGGTGACCTTCCGCATTCCTATGCTACGCGCCGGATTGTGGATGAAACTGAATAGAACAACGCTCCCGCAGTAACACACGTTCCAGCCGTGTATTCCAGCCCTAATCATAACCTTATCCCTAACGTTCACCACCACCTTAATCGTGTTAGATTAAAGTCAAATACACGTACATGTGTAGATTCATTCCAAACGGTTCTCCTATTTCTAATATTTCCGAACTCGTAATATAAGGACGCATTGGGTGGCCGAAAGCATAATATACCAACGATTTGTCACCTAGCGTAAAATGTTATGCTTTGGGAGTGAGAACTTCTGTCAGTTGATACTCAAAGTGTGCCAAAAAATATCCCCTTCATCATTACACCGCCAAGACACTGAACTCTTGAAATGAAGTAAGATGGACCCATCCTTCCATGTTTTTTATGCCAAAATCTATTCAGATGTAAAATGTGAGAAATCGGACTTAAAATACACCCGATGGTTATTTTTTAACCTGAGGCTTTATAACTGAGGTATTCAATTTTTCCATTGCAGCACTTTGATTACGTGTGATCTCTCATCTCTGCAGGAACGAGGCTCCCATCCCGACACATTTCTTTGTGATCCTGACCAGCTGCGGGGATTCGACCTTTGGCCCTCTGAACTGTGCAGGTCCACTCCAGGCCAGGTCCTTCATCATGCCCCACAGGCCCGACCACACAGAGAGCTGCGCTGTGAGTAACACCATTCGTCCCACATGTTTCTGCACTGTCTATTTCAGTCTGCCTCTGTGGAAACCTGCTGTCAGACCCTTCTTAATACTGCATAATTTTAATATACGCCTCCCCCACTTTCTGCTTTTCTTCAGAATGGGACAGACTTGACGTGGGTGGAAGACTGGCTGAAGCTCCACACCGCTCGAGTGCGAGACATCGAGCTCCTTACCGGACTCAGCTTCTACCACGACAGGTTATCAGTGGAAGAGACACTGCGGATGAAGACATTTCTACACACTTATTAAACTCACAGACTTTATCGAGTGAAGCTTTAACTGGCAGAGGAAGCCATATTGGTGTGCAGATGTCTGCCCACATGGACAAACAGTTAACCCAATAACTGTGGGTTTAACAGATGCTTTACTTATAGACTTCCCTCATTTCAGACTGAACTCATTCTTAAGCTCCATCCATTATTTGAAGTGACATTTTTAAAATAAATTTTTATTGATTTTGATTGTGTACAAAAAAAAAAAAAGTAAATAATGAATGGAGCTTAAAGACACCATCCCATCTAATAAAATGATTCCAAAGTATTTCCGGGTTCCCATTTCCAGATTGGAAAACTGGAATAAAACTAAAGGGAAAAGAGAGTTTTTATTGATGGAAGAACTGTTTATGTTGAGTGAAGCTTGCCACACATCAGGGGAGCTGTCTGCAGCAGCTGGAAAAACATCTAGCATGAATATGTTTTGCCCTTCTTTTTTGTATGTGTTTCTTTTCTTTTTACACCCATTGGTATTTTTTGTAAAATGAATGAATTATTCAGCTTTTAAATGTGCGCCTATGCTGTATGCTTGGAAGGATTACTGTATGAGACACGTTTGAGCCAGTCTGGGCTCAGACACGTAAAAGCCTTTTCTTTCTCCAACACAGAGAGACATAAAGCAACTGCAAAGAACACTGAAAGCAAAGTTTACATTTAGCAAGGATCCCTGGTGTTTTATACTAAAATAGCTGCTAAATATATCATAGGTCATGTGAACTGTGTAGTGTGCGGTCTTGTGGTTAACACATTCGCATAGTCACAAGCTAGCACCGGTCCCAAGCCCAGATAAAGGGTATCCAGCATAAAATCTTTGCCAAATTCAACACGGTGATCCATCCACCCTGGCGAGGCTTTTATAAGAGAGCAGCCTGATGTACCTTCTTCTAGAAGCAGCAGATGTGAAGCTGTAATAACTGTTGATCACGTGAGGCAGCTGTAACCCTGAACAATCAAGACTTCAGAAAATTGATCTCCTAAAAAAGTCCTTGAAGATCATGAGCGTAACTTACACCTCACGGGGGTAAAGCAAGTCTGGTGAAAGCTGTAATGTTTAAGGATCATTCGAGTAAACTGCTTTTTATTATTATTCTGATGCTCGGTGTTGGTGGTAAACAGAAATTACTGATGTTTTTTCTTCTTCACAGATAAGAAAAATTCAGATCTGGAGAATTATTTAAGATTTTGTTTCTATTCTGTCTTTTTTCGGACTCTTTCTGGTTGTTTTGTGTCTTTCGTTCCATTTTGTAACCTCATTGGAGTGATTTTACATCTCTGTTGTCATTTTGTTCCTCCGCGGCCATTTGGTGACTTTTTCCTGGGAAGATGAATTTTCAGGCAGCCGCTAAACTTCAGCGTTTAGTTGGAGATGAAGAGAAGCTGTTTGAGCTCAGCTCATTAATCCGTCCGTGACTGTGTGCATCTGAATGTGTGGATCAGCAAAATCATTATTCAGTCTTTGATTTTTCATCTTCGCGTACTGCTCGTATATGAAGTCATATAGATTTCATGTATACCAAGCCTTTTCTATTGGTTGCTGCAGTTTTTCACACATGAAAAATTTCATATAAAAAACAAACTTCCACATTGAGCTTGTGACTTGTTTCCTTTTGTTTATGACCTTTTATCAGCCAAGATTCAAGGTGCACAAATCACTTTCGTTTCACACGATTGAATTTACAGCGTCATGTAGAGCGAGGGAAGCAGCAGTTGCTCTTCAAGTCTCCTTCAGGTTGAAGCTGTACATGTACATGTGAAAAGGAAGGAAGTACGTTACCCTATGTGCTTAAAGTCTGCCACTTCCTCAGGCTGACCACTCCGGCAGCGCAAGAAGCCAGAAGGTAAGATCTTGCAGCTTTCAGCTCTGCACCTCGTAAACTCTGAGGTGACCCAATTCTCATGTCAGAAAACCTGAGCCTACTTTCCATTTGAGGTTGTTGCAAGGCTGGTGCAGTTGTCACAATGCTTTTCTCAAGTGTCGGTTGATGGTTTGGCAAGAAGAGGGTACAAGTTGTCTCACTGCATCTTTAGTCATTGAGAAAGAAAAAAAAATTTTTTGTTGTGTAAAATCTTTCTGTGAAGTCCGCCATTCAGTTGTTGAATTGCTGAGCTGGCTGAATAAGGTCTACTGCATGCTCTTCTTATGATGATCAATCTGTATGACTTCAAATGTTTTATTACTTCATCTGGCATTCATATTTTCAAGTGTACCTTGAGTCAGTAGTTTCTTTATTTCAACTCTTTTATGAAAGTTTTCAAATCCGGCTCAAACTGAAGCAGAGGGCACGTCTCTTGCAAAGGAAATGCAGAAAGATGACGCCAGCTTTTCTGAGCTTCTTTTTTTTTTTTCAGTTGCTGTGATGAACTGCATGAAGATGATAAGTTTAGTTTAAATATACACGCAGCTCGATAACATGCACATAATTTCCTGGAAAGTATTTTGGGAGTCTGTGTCACCTCACAGCAAGGTTTTGTGACGTGAGTGAGTTTTGTTAGATGGGTCATTTTTAAAAATGTGTACCTGACATAGTTTCTATTGTCAGTCACTGTGGGTTGCAAGCATGAAAAAGCAGCTGTGAGGTTTTTATTTGGAATTCACTTGCTGCAGACGCTTCTGGCTTTAAGGCCAGAGTTTGCATGCTGTCACTGAAGCCTTCCTGGAAGCCCCTCATCTGGGTGGGAAGTGTGTCAGAGACCACGTGACCGCCTTGGGGTTTCTCACGATATGCTATATGTAGGTCTCAATGAAATTAGTCAAGTGCCCTTTTTACTGTCATTGCTGCGGTGGCCTGATACAATCCTCCTCGCTCTCTTCTCGGATGTTAAAGCGCTAACCACTAAACCACGCAAAGCCTGAATCATTATGGCCCCTTTGCATCGTAGAGGCGAGTCTGAGATGAGTGTGCTTGCATTATTGTGATAACGAAGACGATCATCTGTAAACTGAGCTACTCTTCGAATGAGGAATCTGCTACTAGTAGTTTTTAAGTGTGCAACTTGTTGCCTCGCCTGGTATTTAGAGCTCAAGAGCGGCACAGAGCACGTAAGCAGAGGACAGATAACAGCCGTGCCCCTCTCTGAGCCGTGAGGCCTAATTATTACTAGCACTGACTGTTATCTTCAGCCTCCTGGCAGCTCTGTTTAGTGACAACAACGGGCCTTATCTGCTAACACAGGTTGACATCCAGCTCTTCGACAGGCCATTTCCCCTCTGCTCCCCACGCCTGTGCGCTGCCGGGAAGGAAAATGGTCTCAGTCCAGATTGAGATGTTAAGCGCTCGGGAATGACGTCTTCCAAATGAATGAGATATTAAAGAATCAGCTTTCTCCTTTACTTCCTCCCACGTTGCTGATTGACCCTCCTTATAAACTGACCACACACCCAGCTGTGGGGTCAGGCATGCAAGCAATTCAGTTCAGTTTTGTTTACACAGCGCCAAATCACAACAGCAGTCGTCTCAATGTGCTTTAAATTGTAGTGTAAAGAATCTACAATAACAACCGCCTTTGACCCCTTGGCGACAGTGGAAAGGAAAAGCTCCACTTCAAGCAGAGCTAGGTTCAAGGAGGGGCAACCATTTGACTAGTTGGGGGTGAGGGGAGGGAGAAGAGACAAGCTGTGGAAGAGAGGCAGTGATTAAAAATAACTAAGGATTAAAAAACAAAAAATAAGGTCCATGTGTCACTTTCAAGCCAGTTCACAGCTACATCTGTTAAATTGCATGATGACTGTTTGTGGTAAGTAACACAGTCACAACTCTACATGCAATGTTATGCAAACTGAACATTTTCAGTAAGCCAAGAAAATACAAGACATGAGATGTGTTCAAGATATTCTAGCTTCTTCACAAACACACACAGCTGATCTTCTGTTGTAAACCTCAAACCAGTGGATGAGCTTATTTCCAAGGACTGTCAAGTGACTTCTTTTGAAGTAAAACATGAAACAGAGCTATTGATCTAATAATAAAAACAAAAAAGAAAAAGAAACTGGGCCACGGGTGCACGTCAGCCATCAATAATGCACAGGGTTGGCATTTGGTTTGTTTTGCTGTTGCCCTGCCATCAGTGAAGCATCGCTGCTCTTCCTGCAGCTGAGGAAGCAGCGGTGGTTTAACACAGCGGAGGTCTGTGAGGATATGAGCAGCATGAGGGGAAATGAGGGGTAACTGATCATCACAGATCTGGACATGTCATTTTTTCATGACATCCTGTGCCGCCGAGCAACTATTTACGTCATCCCGGGTATTCTTGGAGATAAGAAGGTTATTTTAAATCATTCAAGTAGAAATACTACAAGTAGCTTTCTGATGTGGAAAGGGGAATCTCCGCTGCTCGCGAAATAACCTTGCTATCTCCCTTATTTTAATCTTTCAGTTCCAGAAGACGAAAGAGACGATCTGAGGGTTGGGCCCAGTGAGGGGGAGGACTAAAGAGGAGAGGAGGAGGAGACAGGAGTGAAAAAAGAAAACGGTGAAGCAGAGAGGAGAGACAGAGAGAGCAGGACCTGTGACAGTGACAGAAGACCTGAACCAGTATTTCTTTCTTTTTTTTAATTCAAAAACATGGATTTAAGTTTGCTTCAAGTTATGGAGAGAGAGAGCATCCTGGAGGTTCTTCGGAGAGACAAACAGATGCGAGCAATCGAAGAAGACAGGATCAGGTGGGTCATTTCAAACAGTGTTAATAGGTGCTGGGATGAAATTAGATTTTTAGGGATGCTGGAAGGAGGCAGGGCCGACTGCTCTTATATTGATTACGTGAAAGCGAAAATATGATTCTTCTGAAAACAAAACCTGTTTCAGAGATGTTACCTGTTACAAATCTGAACTGTTAGTAGTTTCATACTTAACATACAGACATGAGTGTGATATCAGAAGTTCATACTGTGCCGTAAAATAAAGAAAGAACCTTCTTCTCACACGGGGACTTTAAATCTTGTTGGTTTTGGGGTTTTTTTGTTTTGTTTTTTTGCAGCTGACACTTAATTCTGCTCAATATAGTGTTATAAAACCTTGTTTAACTATGGTAACTTTGTGTTACGCTCTCAAAGAAACCTCATATGTCCCCATTGTCCCCATATAAGGGCATACTTTTTAAAAACCATGCTGTTCTTCAGTTTTTATATCCAGAAGAATTTTTTATCTGCTGGCTTTATGTTGAGCATCTATAACAGAGTGATGCATTTCTGAAGGATGTTTAAAATATTAAAATGTTCTAAAAACTGTTCATTATTGTCAGAAGAGAAATGTCTGTGAATCTCGCAGTTAAAGCTCTCTGTGGTTCTCCCTATTCTCAGGAGGATGAAATACGACCTGCAGGAGCTCCGAAGGAAGGGTGCAAAGAGCTATGCCCGGCAGTACGGCGAGCGGACCTGCGCCCGCTGCCAGAGGCCGCTGGGAAAGTTCTGGAACTCTGGCGCAGTCTGCCGCGGCTGCAGCCACCGCATCTGCAACAAGTGTCGTGTGGGAGCAGCGATCTGGAAGTGCACGGTCTGCCACGCATACAGGTAGGGAGGCCACCAGCGAGCCTGCTGTACAGAGGGTTGAAATGTGTGACTCAGCGAGGCTCAAATCAAGCACTGAATGACTGTGCGTGTGTAAAGCCCAGCAGTGACTGACTGAAGGTTACTGTAACTGAGGCTCAAATCTCACACTTTCACTTTTACTCTGTTTGTGTACTGTTGAGAGAGCTCGTCGTCATGCTGAACTATCCAATGAAATGGTTAAACAGTCCGTGGGAGATCAGAAAATGACATTAGAAATAAAAACCTGACCAATTATTTGATAATTCAATGATTTAGAACACTAATTTAATTGTGGACGGACTTCCCGCATCCATAAAACGTTCCCCGTAACAGTATAAGATTCCCCTTCAAAGTAAAGGCATTAGGGAATAGGGGACAGTGGACCAAACCACTAAGAGCCTAGATTTAGCTACACCCCTGTTAAACTGCAGTTTCTCCAGTCAGCAGCTTCACGTAAAGACTGAAACCCCCCTCCTCAGTTGCAGGAACATGATGAAAAGACTGACTTGCAGTTTAAAAGGCACCGATTGCTACAAAAAAAGAGGAAATTGTGTCAAGGACACTAAAGCAACATGATTGAAATAAATCCCTCAAGAGCCGACTAACCACAGCAAGAGTAGATGAACTCCAACTCCATAAAAATGTGGGTAATTATTCTGTTGAGCAGATTTATGAAGGAAATGATAATGAGTGAAAACCGATAATAATAAGGTCTGCGCTCAGACTGATTGATACCTACATTAAATCTACAACTTTAACATGAGTTTCAGGTCAAGTGTCGCTGTTTTAATTAATCATCAACATTCCAGCTGTTTGGTAATCAACCACAAACTATTCTAATAACTTTTAAAGTGTCCCAAGTCCTATTTAAAATAGCTGTGACGCTAATTAGCTTGTTAAGATGGGACGAGATATTTTAACACATCCTGTCGCTTCTTTAAAACTTCCCCTTCCCTTCCCCTATATGGACTCTGTCATAAACATTTGAAATATGCAGATAGCATCTCTGAAAAGTGAAATTTAGATTAGGTGTATTTCCTACACGTATTTTTGGCCTCTTCATTTTCAGTGTGGGTATTTTACATGTGTAAAAATGTGTCCACATTTATAGATGATTTGTTCTGAATACTGAGGGGGCATGTTTTTCTCCGAAACCTACGCCTTGTCTTTCAGAAAAGGATGTAACTGTTCTTTTACTACTTTAATTATCTGTGAAAGAACGAAGATACATTTGTCAAACTAAAGCTAAATTCAAAAGAGAAATGAAGATGTTGCAGTTGTAGTTTTATTGATTGTGGCCGTCTTGTCATTTCTACCTGCTCATCACGGCGCTCTTCCTCTTCACAGGGATGTAAAAATCAAGTCCGGAGAATGGTTTCTAGAAGAAAAGTCAAAGAAATTTCCAGTCACCACAGGTTTGTATGCAAAACCCAAACTGCATGCATACACATAGGGTGTGATTTGCAGGGTGTGGGGGTAACTTCCCCCATCTCTGGTCTGCACATCCTCTGCTAAAGAATTTTTTTTATCTCTGATTTTTAGCGCTACATCTTCAGACAGTGTGCAGGGCAAACAACAATCAAATCCGAAATTCAGTTTGAGTGTCAGAGCAGCAGAGATGCCACGATACTGTTCGGCATTATTTCATTACACTCCAGAACACTGTCGTTTCAACATAAAACTAAAGCTAACCAAATAAAAGAGAAATAAAAAAGGGCCCAGAGGAGTCACCAAAACTCCTAATAACATTATTATTGAGTATCAAACACAGGAATGATCACTGACCCAACCTGCAGCTTCTTACTCCAACTTGTTGGCTTGCAATTCTGAACTGGGACTGCTGTCTCACATCCCTAAGAGACTAAGGAAGTTATGAGTACACTTGCTGCCTTTGCAACTGATAGAGATAGAGTCTGCTCGTCCGACAGCAACCCTCCAGATAGAGTTTAACATGACCGTCAATCACAAGTTAGAGCTCACAGCTCTGATGTTCAGTAAACAGCACAGGTCGCCTCCTTGAGTTACAATCCTGAGAACATTAATTTAAAAAGGGAGAGATTAAAATATTCTCATGGTTATCATATGTTCTGAACTTGTAGACATTAAACTGGCAGCAGCTGTAAATAAGTATAGAGGATCGCTTGCATGCTGCATACACAGCTGCTTTTCCTTTTTTAAATATAAATCATTATTCAATATTAATGCACGCTTGTTCAGCTACACTGACTCATAAAATATGAATGAACGCAGTTGTTTTATGTTGCTGGCTTTATGTGTTCAGTTCATAGTGTGGCTAGGCATCATAACACTTAACTATTAAGGATATTTAAATGGTTTTCTGTTCCTTCCTGATGTCCTTTCAGACAAATATGAGACGGTTGGGGAGAATCTACTGAAGACCTACAATGTGCTGAGGTATTATTTACCTTCTAAGTGTTTATTTTTCTACATCAGGTTAAGTCTCTGTCCCGATGTGGTTGTAAAATTACATTTTTTGACTCGTGTATCTTCGCAGTCATATATCCATTGTGCCTCCCACTCCTCCACCTCACTTGGATTATCACTTCCTGAGCAGATCTGGGGTAAAGTATTATTTTCTTTTCCCATTTTTTTTACAAGTTAAAATGAAACATGTATAAAGTGATTAATCATTATTACTTTTTTTGATCTGCAGGATTGGAAAAACTCAAAGCCTTTCACCAAATCTGTGGAAAATCTAATGGTTTCCTTCACGAGTCACATTAAAAGTAAGTCGTTGTTCAACCTCGGCCCAGCGGTCAGCATTGCCAGGCTCAGTAATTCTTTACTTCTTAATAACAGAAAGTGCAACACACAACAGATACTCTCAGTGTGCAGTTGTGAGAAATTGTTGCTTCGAAATTAGTAGCATCACTTCCTGTGGATGTTATCAAACACACTCTGATCATGAGCTCAATATACGCACAGTAATAACCACAAAGGAAATTCACCAGAGATAATTTAGAAGAAAAAAAAAGCCTCGTGAGCTCATGACACCTACTGCATCAGCAAAAGAGGCTTTAGATGATGCAGGAGATAACACCACCACGCATGCACAGCTCTTTGAGCAGCGTTGTTTGTCCGAGCACAGGATGCACCTCTTCGTTAAATTTGTTTTCCAGTAAACAGGCATTTACTGGGTTGTGCTTTTCTTACATTTCCCTTTGCAGAGATTTCCAATTCTCAAAACGACGTCCGTGAAGATCTGCTGAAGGTCGACAACAGATGGAGAGGCTCGAGCTTTACCCACTCCACCCAAAAGAGCCTGTCAGACACAGACATAAACAAATCGAGCACGGTAGGTCGAAAGCATCAGTCACTGAACTCAAGTCGAGTTTGTGGTGGTAGCGCTGCTTCTGCTGCAAGTGAAAGTGTTTTTGCAGAGCACATATTTGGGCCTGAGAGTGGAAGCGGGAAATCACAGATAAAACGGGGAACTGATTCAGGGCCTTTAGCAGCACCTGCTGGTGATGACAGGGAATAACATCAGCAACCTCAAATCTGAGAGAGAGTGCGACTTTTTGCTTTTTGTGCCTAAACTGCTCCTTGATGTTTTCTAGTTTTATATCATATAAAAAAGTTCAAAAGCAGAGTAAAGAAAACGACTTTCTTTCTTTGTGCAGCTCTTCAAAGTCCCAAGTCTTCCAAACCTGTTCAAGAAAAGCAAAGACAGCGACCAGGAGGGCTCCTCCACCGGGGCAGAGGACGAGACTTCATTCGGTTCTGAGTACTCTGAAGGGAAGAGAGTAAGTCACAGCTGATTTTCATTAAAAAAAAAAAAAATTGAATAAAATCCCCAAACAACATCCGGTGGTTAAAATATTCAAAAGTAACAGCCCTGATCACAAAATCCCCTCTTATAATTATCCTCTCTCACACCTCTCTCATCCTTTTCCTCTGAAGTGTAAAATTGATGCTATAACCTGTATTTGGCTCCCTCAGGGCAGCTGCAGCAGCACCAGCACAGAGTTGGGCTTTGAGAGCGTTTCTGTGACCGGAGAACTGGAGCTGGCTCTGGCCTTCAACACCAACACCTCCCGTCTGGAGATCACAGTCGGCACCTGCAGAAACCTGTCCTACGGAGACAGCAAGAAGAGGAAGTGTCACCCGTAAGGACACGTTTGATGTCACTCTGTGCAACACAAAGAGGCAGAGCGCATTTCCTGTGATTTTCCATCAAAGCTTCAACAGCATTTTTTTATTTTGTATTCTGCTGCACAGATACGTGAAAATCTACGTGCTGCCGGACAAGAGCTGCAAACTGAAGACGTCAGTGAAGAAGAACACGACTGATCCGGTTTACAATGAAGTTTTGAAGGTAAAAACAAAGAACCTCTTCAGCTATTTTTGGATGTCTCTATGTGTCATCAGTTTAATAAAACTTGCAGCATGCACATATGCATGCTCATGACTTATAGAAACAAAATTATTGATTTCATGGGCAGTAAATTCTTCCTTTGAAAGTTTTTTATCTGGTGCATCAAAAATATGATCTACTCTGAGATGCCATCATAGTCTGTATATAAAAGATGGATATAGCCACTGTGACGTCGCTCAGTAATTGATGTAAAGTCCTGCTGTGAAGACTTGAGCTGAGCCTTTTCACTACAGTCATCTGGGTGTTTTAAAGCCAGAAATAAAGAGCAAGAACTTAAAACTGGGGGACACTCCATGGTACCCCGGCTAACTCCCTTTCTGACTCTGATTCAATTTTACAAAAATAATATCATCCGCTGCTCTATAACACTCAAAACTAGGCCCTGAGACCATAAACTCATGTGCTTAATCAGTGTTTAAAGAAAACATTTAAATAAATGTTGTGAACGTAAACAGCATTCACTAAAATTTAAATGTTTTTCACAGTATGGCATACAGCGCAACATGCTCATTGGAAAGAGGCTACAGGCGACTGTGTGGCATTCAGGTACCCTGAAAAGGAAAGTTTTTCTTGGTGAAGTCCTCATCCCTCTGGACGGCTGGAGATTTGAAGACAAGGCATTCCAGTGCTTTAACTGGTATCCACTGTGTCCGAAGGTAAAATGGAGCACGGCAGAAAAGATTTGTTTATTATTGCTGAAGACTTTTGCCTGTATGGCTGATATGGAAGTGGTTTTCTATAAAATCTCCTTCCTGTGTCCTTCAGCCTGAAAGACAAAACGGAGGTGATCAGGAGTGAGGAGAACCGCTGGCCGGAGTCATGGTGAGTTTGTAGCTTGCTTAAACGTCTGTCTAGCGCTTTGTTTTCGTCAGGCTTGTGTAGTTCATGTGTTTTTTAGTTCATATGTAGTAGGTGGTGTAGTACAAGTGGGACAGTGATTCTGAAAGCTGTAATTTACAAGGTGTATGTACGTGAGTTTGAGGTCACATAGTCGAGCACAAGCGTAAACCTATCAGATCAGCTGATCTGGGTCACCTGATACCTTTTTATTCATTTAAATTGGCAAATTAAATCATATAGGGCAATATTAAAGCTGCTTTGGCCTGCAAACCACTTTGCAACCCACTTACACCTACACTCATCTCTGCCAGTGTCCCCAGAACAAATATTTTAATATATGTCAAATATAAATGATTTAATATTGAAATAAAAGTTTTCTTCTGACTAAAGGTTACTTTATTTGCTAGTGATATCATGTTGTTCGAAATCCTCCAGGTGGTTTTCTGGTGTGGTTATCAAGTGGGCTGAGGTGCGAGCTATGAAAACCACTATTTTAAGAGAACGTCATCAACACTTTTCAGAAAAGGCTGGTCAGGGTCTACTAATAAAAATGAAATAAAATAAGTAAAAAAAATTATTTTTTTATTTAAGTGAGCTGTAATTGAGTTTAATATAATTTTTAAAGGCACATTTCAAGAGCCTTAACCTTTTAGGTGCATTCATTTTGGCACTAGGGGTCAGGAGAGGATCTGTTTTGGATACCTTGTGTTGTCCTTTAAGGCAAACTGGGCCACATAGCAATGATCCACTAACCGTCCTTCACACCTTCCCATTAGTGTAAACATGACTCAGAGTGTAAATACACGTCATTGTGGCCCTGTGTGTCTCCTTGTGTGAGCAGGCCTCAGGTGTGCTATGTGTGTTCTGGTGTGTGACTTTTTGAACGCAAGTGTAATTGTTCAACATTGTTCAACAAGCATGAGGGAGTGTTTACATAACTCGTGTGTTTGTGTATGTACGTGTCTCATTTAGGCGTCTGACTGGGAGCCAGCAGAGAGCTCATCCACAAGACGCCCATTTCAAAAAAAAAAGAGGGAGACTGAAGTCCTCCACTGCTGCTCGTCCAGGACGTCACTCTGTGGGATCAAAGCACCTCCTGCCTCTCTGAGGCACCATAATGGGGACTTGAATGGAACAATAACAGCAGAGATCCACTTCTGAACATCCTCTGTGGAAACACTTTAATGCCGCCTGTGAAGCATCTACAATCGTTATGAATGTATACACCACCTCAAGCAAAGCAGTTGTGATTAATTAATATTTTTTTGCATTATAGAACAGACTATAAAAAAAATCAATTGCTTTATAGAAACATTATTTATGCTTGTTATATTTATTTAGCTTTCTGTTTCTTTTTTTTTTTCATCTGCTAAGCACCTTGAAACTTGAAAAAATCAAGTTACAGTCTATAACCATGGGCTCCAAGTCTGTTTAATAATTACTTTATAATATCCTGTGCTGCAGTTTTAAGCTAAAGAAAGATTGGATAAGCCAGCTTCCTGATGGAGGTTGTACCTAACATACCGACATATTTGTTTATTAACTGCTTGTGGATGCTTCATAGTTGCAGACGGCTAGCACGTACAATTTTATTGCTTTATAAATGTTAAACAGTTAAAGTGATGCCACTTCCGTTCAAGGCCTCTCTGCTGACATTCGTCGATCCGTTCAGACCCATTTTCCTCGTTAATGCCCATGTTCTTCTGTCAGAGGAGAGCAGCAACAAAACGTCCATGCAAATAAAATTAGTGGAAGAGACGCTAAGCTAACGTTACTGACAAATGAAATCTGGAGCCACACCCGGCGGTGGAGCGGAAGCAGTTTGAGTCGCTTCAGACACACACGCACAGACACACCACACAGCGGCTCTTCGAGTACAAAGACACGTTTCTTGTCTCTGTGGACGCGGCGTGTGAAAGCAGCAGCAGAAGAAGAGAAGGAATAAGGCGGTTTCTGTGCTGGGGGCAGTGATGTCACTGACCTGGAATTCTGTTGACTCCGCGTTCTCCCGGCTCACCATGGCAACTGGAGGCTCACCAGGTTAAGCGTGACGTCAGCTCGCCTGCGTCAACAGGTGGAGAAATTGAAGCCAGCAGCGGCACAGGCCGCTTACAGACTCATTGTATTTATTTATTTATTTATTTATTTATTTTTGTTTACATCCAGCACTTTAAGACGCTCATTTAGCATTCAACTATTTACAGTGTATGTGTAGTATAGCTGTCAGATAATAAGTCGATCAGCTTCCACGTGCATGTCTGTTTTCGTTTTTTGTCATTTTATTTATTTTTCTGTCACACTGAATTGCTTTTGTAAAAATAAAAGTATCTGAATATGAATCAAAACAACGTGAGGGAGTCCTGACATGCTGATATTATAAATATAAAGCTCTACTTTTTGGGAAGCATTTAGCGTGTCTGACTTCATTTTAGAGCTCATCTTGAAAGGAAATTTCTGCATCACGTTTCATTTTCAATTCATTGAACATCTGGTGACTTCTTTTATTCAAAAACACAAACATCAATCTCACAACATCCCAAGCCAGAACCAGTCCCAAGTCTTTGGACTACCTTTTCATACAGTTTGGCTTTGTAATGCCAACGCCTGACAAAGCTATTATCATCAGCGCCCAGCAGTCGTTGTTTGGGAGAACATGAAAATTGATACAACCTCCAAAGCAATCCATCCTGTCATCCTGGTCTGTCTTTAACACTGTAAACCCAGAACAATGACAGAATGACCAGAAAATTCTAATATTTTTTGAAAATTGATTTTATTGAACCTCCTGACAAATATATATATTTATATTAATTTGCATATATGAGTTTTAATTTGTATCAGATATGATACACTTGGCTTTACATGGTTAAACCCACATGGGCTAGCAAGGCTAAGACTCAGAGGCATAAGGCAAACCCATTAAAACATCCCGGTCCAGAAAGAATGAGGACAGAAGTGTCTACTTACTTTGAAATATATATTTTACAAAGTACACACAGACATGTAATCTTTTTTTTTTAATTGCCAAATTCTTAAACACCTCAATATAAAATCCTGTTCATATACAAAGTCCAGCAGAGCTGTGAGTCAGTAAATACTAATAAATGTCCAGAAAGGAGAACATGAGACTTGGTTTTATTCAATCTGGGTCAGTCCATGAAACTCTGGAGATGTAACACAAACAAAAAAAAAACCCCAAAGGTTTTCAGAATTGCATCTTATTGTTGTTGTTTTTTGTTTTTTGGGTGACTAAGCACCTTGGCTGAGACGTGTCGAGCGGCTGTCTGGGACTGACCCCTGCAGAGGGGCGACCAAAGGCCACTTTAGAGTGTGAAAATGTTCGTTTCTCACTCTTCAGTGACATGACACGGAACAGGCAGAAACAGAAATATTAAACCTGCTCTCAAGAAAAAGATGCATCGCTGTTCTGTGAACTGCATGGCAAAAAAACAATAATAATAATGTTATTAATAATAATAATGATAATGATAAAAGTACCTAGATAGCTAGAGATCTTCTGACGTGATTTTAATAGCATGCAGCTGAATATATTTCCTACGGTAAAAAATAATAATTTACAATGAATATTTCTTTAATTTATTGATCTAAAGGAAAACATATGGAACATAAGACCGTTGTTGTTTGGTCAATATATAAAATCTTTAAAACATATTGAATGTTTTGTTATCAGAAGATAGCAAAAATATACAAACCAAAATGAAATACCCTTTTTAAATGTCCCATATATAAATATCCAACTAGGGATTAATTTTTTTAACCTACAGAATAGCAATATTAAACATAAATGGAAGTGTTCAAATATGATGGAAAATAAAAACTATTTTTCTGCTCGTTCCCCCTTTCTGAGTGGTCGCCATGAACAACAAACGGTCCTCCATCAAAAATAAGCAAAGCTTGTACTATTTTCTCTCTGTGCGCATCATAAAATACTAAAATAATTTGGCTAATCCCCCACTCCATCCCACCTCTAAAAACAGATGACTATTTTTGGTCTGAATTGCTCAAATTACACAATTAAATACACAAACGGGAAATGAAACACTAAGTAGAGACAAAAGGGAAAGTTTTTGGCACTAATATTTCTTCAGAGGGTTTGCAAAGCCCTGCATCCAGCAGGGCACACATAACAGGAGTTTCTTGCTCTCTGTAGTGATGCTTCTGCTCTGCTTATACTGCTTCAATTCAGTCTGCAGCAGTGTGTTAAACATGTCCGGGTATGGTTGTGTGTTGATCTGGCAGTCGAAGAGTGAGATATGTAGTGACCATTCAGAAAGGGTACGTTTTCCGAGGGCTCCTTATAAGGCTTCGAACTCATCGATCCTCTGCTTGGTGTTGCCCTGCCTGATCTGTCGCAGAGTCTTGTATTTGTCTCGGCCAGCTCGCACGTTCTCACTGTGGAGGAGGTCGTTGGCGGTATTCTTGGATTCATCACGTGCCTGAGCCAGCTCTGAGGTCAGGGCCTGAGGGTGGAGGAAAGGAAGAAGAATGAGATCTGAGGGCAAAAACCAACAATGCCGCCTCTTATACAGTTCCATGAATGAGTCACCGTGTCCATTTTAGCTCACTATAGCCTCGAACTTTATACCCCACAAAGACATATGTGTTAATCAGTCTTTAACCTTCCATCTAGCAAATGCACATCATGTTTGGCACCTCCTACACAAAACAGTAGTTTGGAAACTCAGTTTCTGCATTTACACGTGGATGAGGACGACAAACATTTTTCCCTCTTTTTTTTTGCCGTGAGACATCAACATCTCTGTATGATTAGAGTTCTATCAAGAGTTCTATCAATGTGTGTTGCTTTAGCGATAAACATTTTTTGTTTTTTTTTCTTTTCTTTATAAAAACACCAGTGTATGTGACGATGTAGCCTAAATTGCATACAGTGTTTCCAGCAGTGATCATTTGTCCAAGCTGTCTCCTGCTGTTTGACACGTGTGAGAAAGGACGGCTTGTCCTGATCTGATTCTCCTGACACTTTCTGAAGTTCATGGCTGAAAACAGGCTGTGACGACGTTCCTGTAAAATCACTACAGTTTGCTTGATCACTTCTAGATTGGTCCATTAAAAAAATGAAAAAAGGGCTTGAATATATTCTTCAGCCCTGAGAATTTTACACCGTTATCTCCTGTAAGTTAAACTTGGCTCAAAAATCAAATACATTTCCATGCATCTGCAAGAGATTTGGAAAAATTTCTCAGCAGATTCAAAATTTTCTTCCAAACTCTTGTAGTTTTCCCATTAAAAACAATATGACTATTAGAAACAGAAAATATATATTGGTCTGCGGCAGTTTCTGTGGCAGGAAACTGAGAGCTGACTTTATATAAAGTAGTGAGCAGTAAAGTTTTTGCTCTCCACACAGGAAGCGACAATCAACTGGGCAATCGGCGATAACAGAAAGTCAATGACATATCTAGCAACTTGAAGCAATGACGAGTGAAATAACCTCTGGCCATGTGAAGTTTTTGCAACTTCTAGATGAGCACTTAGTTAATATTGATGTGAGTGAAACAAAAGATGCTGTTAACTGTTATATAGTATGGCGTGGTAAATGCCTTGACAACCAGAGCCCAAATCGTCTGCTAGCGACCAACTGTCAAAGCGATGCGTGATGAGCAGTTCGCTTCCTGCATAAACGCCCCTCATTTCTGAACGCAGCTTTGAGATAGGATACAGGGCGATCAGGTGACTGAGCTGGTCTCCAACATCAAGTTCAAACATTCAAAGGTACCGCTGATTTCAACTTCCTGATGTTATAGTCTAGTATAGATAATCGAGCCAGAGCTCAACAGCTTTGGTTCTACGTGAAGGTCGAAAGAGAAGTGATAACAGGATGAATGCGGTGAAACTTGTAATCTTTCAATTTTAACAGAAACTACAGCTGTGAACTGGCTTTTACAGAATGTAGTGCTATTCTAGTCTTATGGACTGCAAAAATTGCTTTGGTGTTAATAGTGTTTAAGTTAGATCAAGGCTTCAATGAGAACTCTGATGCATTCAATAACACCAGGCCCTTCTGTGCTTTCACAGCCAAACTGTTTGTTCCAGTTAAACTCTTCTCTGTCTAGACTTGTTTCAAGCTGTCAGCTAATTCGGACTAAGATTACCTGAGGAGGAAGTTCTATTTCTAAATCTGTCTGTACAGATCTTCTACCCTAATGTTGGGTAACACAGTAACAGATAAGCATGAAAGCAGGTAATTCTTCCTGATTATTTAACTGAATTGCAGGAACCACACACGCAGCACTGTTTTTGTGTTCTATTCTTAACACAGCTGATAACCTCAGATAAAGGTGTTAATGTGCCATCACGCTCGCCAATGACTGACTGTGTGAGGTGCTAGTTTTCACCTTCAGCTGTTTCTGGACGCGCTCGTTCTTCTCGGCCTCAGTCAGGCGATCCTCCTCGTTGCGGTGGTCGTTGATGCCTTCCACGTGCAGGTCGGCGCTGTGCATGCTGGTGTTGTCGTCACTGTTGTCATCCATGAGGTGGTCGTACATGGGAGGAGGTGGTGGCGGCAGAGGCGTCGTCATCACATTGTTCAGCTCCTCCTTGGTTTTAATCAGATCGTCCTGGGCCTCACGGGCCTGGTGATGACAGAGAAGGTCAGTCAGCTCAAAATCAACGCTATAGAATTTCTAACTGCAAATATAAGGTAGGCAATAATTTAATTCAGTCCTTGTTTCAGACAGAAACAGCTGAGTGAGCCTGAGTAAACGGCACTGTGGTCACATTAAAGCTCTCACCCTGAGCTGCCATGAGTTGGCCTCCTCCTCCTTGCGTTTCTTAGCCTCCTCGAGCAGGCTGATCTTTGCTGTGTGCTCTGCCAGCTCAGCAGCCTGACACACACACACACACACACACACACACACACACACACACACACACACACACACACACACACACACACACAAAAGAAAACAAGAAATAAGAGTAACATATTATTTTATACAGAATGGCAAATAAAGACTTTTGTAGCATCCAGAAAAAATACATCTCATTTTGCTCATGTCTGTTGTCTTATACTACCACTATACTACTTCTATGCCTACACTTCAAGAGACTAGAACCTTCTCCTTCTAATGAGAAACTAACCTAACAGACCACAATTGTTTCAAAGCATTTCAAAGAGTTTCCAAAAATAAATATAGGCAGCTTGATTTATTATAAGTGTCATATTAAATGACCTTTTTTCCCTGTTATGTTTTTACTTCTCCTCCCAAAAATAAAGAAACTTTGTTAATCAGATTTTAAATTTTCTGTAAGAATTAATTTTAATGTTAGTTTAAACCTTCCTCTGATCTTTCACTTGTTTGATATTTTTAGCTTTAAGCCTCAGTATGCATTACAAAAATATAAAATATATATATTAAAAAA